TGGTCTGGGACAGTCAGCATTGTTACGGTATTGTTTGTACTTGTATTGTAGCGTGTGTTGTATGTTTCTTACCAGAACGCGGAAGCGGTACAGCAGCTCGGCGGCGTGTGGGTAGACTCCGCAGCTGTACTGGAAGCTGCCAAACTCGTACAGCTGGTTGACCATCTCGACGGTGACGCCGTGCGTGTCCTTGAGGTATGCCAAGTTCTGCACCTTGTCGGAGCGCAGGTTGGTGACGACATTCTCGTCGTCCAGCAGGCCCGAGATCTTGCTCGTCTCCTCCTCCAGCTTGTCGCGTCGCTGCAGCACCTGGTCGCGCTTCGTCTTGTACTCGTCGGGCATGTCGTCCAGGTTGTGCACGTCCTGGTACAGCTGGCCCACGAAGTCGGTCATGTTGGTCGGCTTGAGCAGCTCCAGCAGCAGCTTCTTCTGGTCCAGCGGCTGCTCGGCATCCTCGTCGGCGCTGAAGTTGAGCAGCGGGTAGATCAGATGGCGGTCGAGGTTGGGCATCAGCTTGGGAAGCAGGCTGTACTGCTCGGCGACGTTGCCGCTGTCAGTCGCTGATTCGGCCATGGTGGGTGGTCGCAGTGAAGGTGTGGTTGTCGTCGTGGCTGCGGGCGCGAATTTCCTGGTCGTCGGCGGGCGGTGGTGGGGTTTCGCAGTAGGAAAAATGACTGTGCGTAGCGAAGACCCCTGCAACTCACAACGACGCTAAAAGTTATGGTGTTGACGGCGAGACGAACGTGAGCAGACCTCCACCACAGCCATTGCACCGCCAATCTTGCGTATAGCAGCGTCGTCACGCCCTTCGCCGTCACAATGCCGCGAGATACAGACCCTGAGGCCCCCTGCTGAGGCCCCTGGCAGACCCCCAGGCCCGTCACGTGTTGCCAGCACTTCCGCTTCTCGACTGCATCAAGACTATGCGCGGAGAGTATGTCTTCATGATATTCTTCACATGCGAAGAATGGCTTACTAATCCCACAGTAGAGCCAGTCACGTCTGCGAAGCCCACTGCACCATCACAAGCTCCCCCGGCACCTCCCACAACCCCACAGGAAGCCTCACGCGCAGCCGACCTCGCCGCTGCAGAAGCCGTCACCGAGTCCGACAGTGCGCAGCCACCAGAGCCCAAGCCCGAACTGCCCTCCCAACATGGGAAGACACCAAACCCCACAAAGAAGGCCGATGCCGTATCCCCACCTACCACACCAACACCGCATCCCGACACCCAAGCCGCCCTGAAGAAAGCGCCCGCATCGTCGCAAATAAACACCCTCAACACCAAGGCAGACGACATACCCAGGCCGTCTGCCACATCAACATCCAAGCCCAACACCGAGTCGTCCTTGAAGAAGCCCAAAGCCTCGACACCACAAAAACCCACTCTGATGTCAATCGACTTACCACCACCAAGGTACCACGTCAGGCGCACGAAAAACAACAATCTGCCAATATACACCGACTACAAGCGCGGTGGGAACTTGCATCTGACCACAATACGCAAAATAACAGGGGATCTGTCGCAGCTCAGGGATGAGCTGAGAGTATACTTGAACAAGAAGGAAGAGGACGCCAAGATTAACACCCTAACACAGCATGTCATAGTCAAAGGTCATCATCCCGTCATGGTCAAGACCTTCTTGGAGCAGAGGGGCTTTTAGAAGATTGCAATGTATATTGTGTATATTATGTAAAAGAGCTAGACATTGTGGAATTACATTACCATCACGATGCGGTATCATGCTACACTTCAGCATTCGCACCCACTTTGCAATATTCATTCTTCCCCGTCGACCATCCTCTGTCTCTCCTCAACCTATGCATATCAGCCCATAGTCCGCATTATTGTATCGAAGCTGACAGCATGCCACAATTACTCCCACTCACCGCTCGAAGCAAACGCCCAATCTTGCACCCCACCGCCCGCGAAATTTTCGACGCACCAGCAAACACACACCTCCCACTGCGCGCGCTCTTATCTTACCACTCGAAGAACTGTTGAGCCGCCCTCTCACTTGATTGTTGAGGAGACACGGCTGTGCTTAGATTGCGGGAGGAGATAAGACTGCCACCACTATTCCTTCTACTTCTCCAACCTCCTCCTCTTCTACTACTTTTCTGCAGGTCTTGGATCCATTGATACAGCACTACTTCAAGACACGCCCCAACAATGGCGCTCACCAAGCTTGTCAAGATGCTGCTGGCATTCGTGCTCGTCGCCCTCGCCGCGGCCTCAAACTGCGACCCCTCCTGCCGAAAGATCGTCCTTGACTGCGCCAAAGCCATCGGTCCGTATAACGCCAAGGCCATCATTCCGGTCGATATGTCGCAGTGTCTCAGTCTCCTGTGTAAGACGTGGGGCGAGAAGGTAAGAAAGATACTCTAGAGGTCTGCGGTGGTTTCACTGACGCTGAACCTAGTGTGGTGACTGTGGCCTCTGCATGGACTGGCACAAGTCTGGAAATTCGACGTCAGCGGCGCATGGAGTTGGGGTTCAGCCGAGGACGCTTACTACGAGTGTGGTGACGGAGGAGAGCTCGAGTGTAGTGGAGAGTTCGACTACTGATGCTTCGACTACCGAGACTCCAGAGAGCTCGACGCTCAAGACCACCAGAACTCCGAAGAGCTCGATCACGACCTGGACATCAGCACCTACTACGGCCAAGCATTCGTCCACCAAGACGAAGAAGCACTCAACTGCTAAGACTTCGAAGCATTCGACCAGGAAGCACTCTACGAAGCACTCTACGGCAACTACCCCAACCACCACGACCTCCACTTCCAGGAGTCTGATGACCCACTCCCCCCCTCCATCCGGCCCCCCAACGCCTCCCTCCAAACGCGACGATCCGATCCACTGCGGCTTTGGCTGCAACATCAACGAATGCGCGCTCGTCTGTATGCCGCAGTCGTACATTGACAGCTACAAAAAGTACCCAGGCAACCAGTGGTTCGACAACAACGGCGCTGAGGTGACCGTCACGCTACGCAGCGGCGTGTGGAAGTGTAATGGTGGTGGATGTGTGCGCACGACGCAAACAGGCGAATGTTGGACGTGGTGCGATCAGTATGGGCTGAACTGCCAGTTGATGTGTAAGGGCAAGAAGACGATGAGAAAGAGGGGGCATTGCTGGGAGATGTGTGATCCGGGAGGGCTTCACTGCTCTATCACGTGCAATGCGGAGAAGGAGAAGAGGCAGTGCCGAGAGGTTTGTGATGAGACGGGCAAGTGCACGAGCGAGTGCGTTGATGAGCCGAAAAAGACGTGCTGGCAGGCTTGTGATTCGCAGGGGGAGAATTGCAGGGAGGAGTGCTCAGTTGTTGGCAATATCGACTGATCGGGAAAAATGTGGTTTTGGAGATTTTGGCGGTGATGAATACCTGGAGTGGAGAGAGAAAAGGAAAGATTGGTGAGGGGGTGAAGAAGTGGATAGGAGTATGACGAAAAATGATGATGAACATTCCATAAACCCTGCTCTTTCTTCGTGTGTGCTATTCATGTCCATCTTATACTGACTCTTACTCGCCAGATCAAACTTTCCTTCTCGCATCTCCCGCATTACTCTCCAATCCTAGTCCACCCCGCAACATCCCCAATATCCACTACTCCCCCTTCCCAAATGTCCCTTCCCTCACACCCCTCCTTCCACCCCATCGCCTTGCACCCCTCCCTCCCCTCCACCAAATCCGCCACGACGCCCCCAACAACCGGACACACCTCCCCCCTTCCCCCCACCGCAACCACCAAATTCCCCAACCGCGGATGTTTATCAATTACCACGCCACCGTCCCGCGTATCCGCCCGCCACACCAATCGCGCGTGGGAAAACGGGCGAGCTGCGAGATGCGGCAGCGTCTCCCTCAGCACCCCCCGCACACGCGCCTCCGCCTCAACCGGAATCTGCGCCCTCGCAAACGGCACAGAAGCATACGTATACGTCGACGTATTCGCCACGGGATTGATGTACCCCTGATGCTGATCCGAGATCTGCACCTCCCCGCGGTTCCCATCGACAACAATCCTGCCAGTGTCGAGCACATCAAGGGGGATTTGCTTCGCTTCACCATCCTCGAGCGATATGTACGCGACCCCGCGCGCCCGCGGCACAATCTGCGCCTCGAAATCGAGGAGCAGGGTGGAATACGCGCCCGCGGCTAAAATGACTGTTTTACCTAGATATATGGTGTTGCAGGAGGTGCTTAGGCCGGAGAGAGACGGGGTGCTGGTGGAGTAGATTAGGCGCGTAACTTCATACTCTTTTCCGCAGAGGAAGCGCACGCCGAGTTTGGCGGCTTCGTCGCGCAGAGCTGTTGTCACTCCGCGCGTGTCGATCCAGCTGTAGCCGCGGGGGTTGGGGACGCCGAGACAGGAGGGGAATGCGCTGGTGGGCGGCGTGAAGGAGGGCGATTGAGAGGCGAGGCGGGATTTGTGGCCGGTGGAGAGGGGGGTGGCGTGGTAGAAGGGGGAGAAGAGGGGGTCGGTACGCCATTTTTGGAGGGAGAGGGTGTGTAGGTTGGTCTGAGAGGGGGCTGGAGGGTGATTAGTTTGGTTGGGTGGTAGTCGAGGAAGAGTTTGGGGAGCATGAAACAGAAAGCTGGCTCGCCGCTCGAGTTGGGGGATGTTGTGTAAATGAATTGTGACTTGGCTTGAATCTGATGCTGGTGCTCAAATGCCGGGAGGATCGGAGAAGAGGTGGGGAACTCAATATCGGATACTAGAAGAACACGCGAGAGCGTGCCGTGTCCAATGGTTTGCATGAAATGACTGCTGGTGTATGTGGATCGAAGAAGATACTGGGCTATAGATGACGAACCATGGGATGCCTAACATTTGTGACGTATACATTTGAAATCGATCGATGGGTTCGAGAGATATAGAGATAAGAATGCAAGAATAGGGAGATAGAACAACGTCGGCTCAAGTTTATAAGTGGTAGTGAGGAAATACTGCGAGAAGATGTACTGTACCTTCTTCTGCAAACACGTTCCGATGGTTCCCTACGGAAGTAGATGAGGGAAAGTCACTACCATCGAGAACAGTGATGCCCGTATGCCCTCTGCGGGCGAGCTCGAGAGCAATGGAACATCCCCAAGTCCCAGCCCCGATGATGAGGATGTTGTCCTGCGCCATATTCCCAGGTGCGTATTCCGGGCAGAGGTATAACCGGAGCTGCTATGCGGTTTGACGAAGTGTTCAAGCGATTCCTTGTGCAACAACGAGGCCACGTTGCGATTTATACCCAGATTTCTCACGTCTCTAGATCTGCCATGTATAGCCTTCCACCAGTAAGATTGGGCGTGGTGCCGTCTGCAGGCTTTGGCGAGCGCCCCGTCGGCTACCGATTACCGCCTTACATGGCTGATATCGGCGAAGAGGGTGGTCGAAGGATGTCAGACGGGACATTGTTACCAAACACGTCACGTTGGCTGCCGGCACCTCAGGTACACGGGTTTGTTCAGCTGCGACGCGCGTGGGCACGTGCAAGAACCCCACGTCCATCCCCAAACGTACTAGCCCGGGTTTGCGCGTGGGCGTCATCGCGAACTTTTGAGACTGAGGCCTTGTTCACGCGCCACACGATGTTCCGCACATGCACTGCCGCGCTGCGTCTGCCCTCTCGATTGGAGAGCAGATTCCTGTCATGGCAACAGGTGCGACATCATCAAACGAGAATGGGGACCTATTGGACGCCCAAGAAACTTGCCATCAGTGAGCGCTATCCTCTCACAGCGGATTTACATAGATGCATGCACCCAGCTTTGGTAGAGAAGCGGGGAAAAGTGTATGATAATGTTAGAACAAAAATTGGCAAGCTCAAAACCTCCGCGGGCGTTGTTCTTCGGACGCAGATTGTAAGTCCCGACCTGTGTGGTATGTCGTGCCTTTGGAGAAGACAGCCAAGTCCATGCAGACGCTGATACACGGTCAGATGATGTATTGAAGTACATGGCACACACATTAGAACCGTACAAGGGCTGCGATATACTCGACATCAATCCTGGCGTCGGTCTCTGGTCTCAAAAGCTTCACGAGTTCCTCAAGCCTCGAAACCACATTCTGCTCGAACCGAGCCCCGATCTCTTCCGGCCCTTCCTCGACCCTCTCCTGAATGCACCCGACTCCAAATACAAACTCGTGAACAAGGATCCATTGAAAGTCGAGTCGTACAGAGAACTCGTTGACGAGGGCGCATTTCCGCAACAGACTCGGATAGACCCGCAGGATCCCAAAGGCCAAGATCTCAACCAGACTCTGCTTGTGACGGGCTCTTTAGCATGGGATCCTTTTCTTCCGGGCTTGAGTTTCGACTCCATGGCTAAACAGCTTTACCACCACTTTACTCCTGCCGCTTGGTCAAACGACTTATTCCATGCCTTTGGACCCGTACGCACTCTGTTCTGGGTCCAGACCGAAGACTTCAACCATGTAGTGGCAAAATCTCCCACGTACATGCTAAAGTCGAACCGCTTGCTTGAGATGACACAGAATTTGAATCTGGTGGTTACCTCAGAACGAGAGAGCCGTCCGGCAGGAAAAGGTGCAATTGGTCGTGAGCCGCAGTACGAAATCGAAAGCACTATTCGCGCAATCCGATCCGCAAAGAAAGCTGGCTTCGACATTCCAGAGCATCGCCGTGATGTGACCCACAAATACGCTGAGCTGATCGAAGAGGCTTCGGGTGGGTCTGGCATCATCAACAGCGAGACCATGATGGAGCTTATGTACGCCCAGTATCGCGCGGGCAATAGGCCTACTCAGTTCCTTCCTCAGGGTATACTTGACTGTTTCGAAGTGGAAAAACAATTGCAGGAGGAACATCCAGATCTAAAGCTTTCACCTATATTTCCTCTAAGCAAAAAAACCGCGGCCACCGTGACAAACAAAGCTCACCCAGCTAGTGATAAAGTACGGGAGTACACGAAAACACGCGCGCTAGTCGCGCACCGGCTGAGGCAGCGGATAAAGTTCGAAGAGATAGTGATTATTGGCGAGGAAATCTACAAGCTTGAATGCAAGGCGCTGAAGATGAAAGAAGGCCCTGGGAAAGCCAAAACCCTCAAGCAAATTGAACAACTGGAAGAGCAGTGGGATCAGCGTCTCGCGCAACTATCCCGGAACTTAGAGCACGCACCTGTCGCCGAGCTGGACGATCGCATCAACCTGCGCTACCCACCACATCCACGGATCCAATGGGATCAGCGGCTGTTTGATCCTCTGATGTCACGCGAAGACGAAGTGTGGCCTCGCAATCGCGTCTCCCTCATCTCCGCCACGCCCATTCCCCGACCCGCAAGCGACGACCCAGAATGGCACGAACAGGTGATCGACTTTGTCTTTGGCTTGTACGCCAATTCGAACAGGTCAGTCATCGAAGCACTGGACAGCATGCAGCATGGCCTCTCCGACATCATCAAGGATTGTCCGAGTCTCACGGATCCGGACAAGGGGGGGAGGTTGCAGCTCAAGCACTTGAGGGTCAAATTGTTGACCATGGAGATGATCTACGAAATGGCAAAGGCGTATAAAGAGTGGCCATTCAAGGCGCCGGGGTCGGATCGCAGCTTGTACTTTAGGCATAAGAATTAGAGATCGGGTCAAGATGCGGACATGCCGACATGGCGTGGCGGAGCGTGCGTTATGTCGTACTTCCTGCCAGTACACGTTAAATTACGACAGTCTATTTGATGCGCTTGAAGCTGTAGTGCAATTTCGTACGATTTCTCACATCAAACTACTAATTTGATGCAACTCGATAAGGCTGTTCAGCGGGCGATTTTGCCAACATGAAACTCTAGCCTGCAACCCTATCGCCCGCCTAAGTGCACGATGCGTACCTTGTAATTACCTTCAAACATCACGCACTGCATGCAAAACCTTCGCAGGAGTAAAATTGAGCTCAAAAGAGCTCAGTCTTGTTGTATGTGTGTATATATACAGGAGAATGTAAGAGCAACCCCGCGCTCAATGTGTAAGTCATCTAAATGCGAATATCCAAAACCCACTCTTCACTCGTCATAAACCCTCTAAATGCACTGCGAGTAGTACTCGTTCTGCTTGGTGCAAGTAGCTCCGCTCGCGCAAGCAGTAGCACCAGTGTATCCGTTACCGCCGCACTGAGCAAACTTCTGCGCAGTAACCGCACCAGCACCGGGAGCAGCAGGTGTCTCGACAGGCTTAGCGACAGTCGCCAGGGTAGAAGACTGTGTAGCAGGCTCAGCAACAGGCGCAGGCGCAGGTGCAGGTGTAGTCGCGGGAGCAGCAGGCTCAGCAGCAGGCTCAGCAGCAGGCTCAGCAGCGGCGCTGGCAGCTCCAGACCACACGGCCGGTCCGACGCCAGGGTAGGTGGCAGCGCCGCCGTAGAGGTTGAACATAACGCCAGCCTCGTCCTGCTTGTAGGCGCCGGGGAAAGAGACGCCAGCGGGAAGAGCGGTGGAGCCGGATCCTCCGACCGTGACGTGCACGCACTCCATGTAGAATTGGGCGCCCTTGGCTCTGGTGCCCTCGTGAAGGGCGAGGATCTCAGGGCGGAAGATGTACTCGCCGGGAGCGAGGCCAGCGGGAATCTAAATTGTGTTAATTTGTGTTCTTAACACGGAAGTTGGGGGTAGGTATGGCTTGCCTTCATCTTATGCTGTCCCTTGACGCCAGTGTACGATCCAGCAAGAAGCCTGTCAACAGCGTACTTTCCACCGGTAATCGCCTTGTCCTCCCAGACCTTCGTCCAGCTCCTCGAGGTGCCAGCCTTGCTGGCATACACCATGATCGGGCCCTTGTGCGACGACGCAATGATGTCGTCGCTCGCACTGTTGGTGTCGTGGTGCCACTGGAAGGCCAGCTCATCGCCGGGGTTGGCGCTGATGGACTTGGAAGCCTTGGTGCCGGCGACATTGCACTCGATGTCCTTGGTGGACACGTCAAGCACGGGGTTGTTGTTGGGGGGCGAGTCGATGTAGCCGCCGGCTTTGTTGCCGACGCCTTGGTCTTTGCCGTTGACGAGTACGTTCCAGACTGTGGTGTGGGCGGAAGCTGCGCCGGCGAGGGCGAGGGCGAAGATGGTGGACTTCATTTTGAGTGAGTAGTGTGAAGAAGAGACTTGGTTAAAAGGTTTTGCAAGTAAGAGGGGAAGTTGAAGTGAATCGAAGTGACTGCGAAGGAATGTAGTCAGAAAAGGAGTGAGCGTCCAAGCGTACCCTCCCCATTGCCGGGCAGATGATGATGTTTTTATATCCCCAATACCCTTCACGTCTAGAATGCTTCTATCGCATCTTGCCTGGTGATTAGTCCTGCATCAGGACCAACATTATAGCGGCGCAAGTGGGTCGCCGTCTGCAAGTACCATCCTATGTCTGATGCATCTTGGTATAACAGATTGGGGAGGAGGCGCTCTTGGGCCAGTGAAACAAGGCTACCGTTTGGTGCAAGCGGAGCATCTTCTAGGTTGGAAGTCAAGAATTGCGGAGCGGTGCTTGAATGGTCGGTGCTTGCACATGCCGTTCTTGGTCGGGATCGAGTCAAGGTGTTTATGAATCTGAAACCGGCGTAGAACGAGACCATTCGCAGTTTCCATCACACAGCCGCCTCTCCATGATCGTCAACGGCGAGAACATTCGCCAAGATTTTGAATGCACTTCTGTAGCCGTCACGACATCATGTAAATCATCTCTGCCTCGCCCGTTGCACGAATGATGCACGTCACGCCCTACGGCTCTCTCTACGTCAAACGTCGAATCTACCGCTGGCTAGAATGGCGAGTAACGGGCAGCTCCACACCTCGCTGAGAGAGCCTCATCTCTATCCCGTGCATGTGGAGTCTCGGAAGCCGGTGCGACCGCAGTCTAGCTTGCGCGTGGTGGAAGTATTCCCGTACACGCCGCTGCCTCGCGTAGTTGATGGTGGCACGTGGAAATTGGTCCGTTTTGCACAACGTCAATTTCATCAACTCGCAGCAGTCATTGATGAGTGGTGGCGACACTGGCTGTAAGAGGGAGTCAAAGGCTTTGCTTTTGATGCAGCGTGTTGGCGGAATTCATCCGTTGGCGTTGTTGGATGTTCCGAGGTTGCAGGTCCAACATTTGACTGACCACTAGCGGCACCATAACATCATGGATGCACAACCACACGGTCCACGCCTTGCTAAAATATACCCGTGGTACTAACGGTAGATAAATTTTGCGAGCAGGGTTCAGGCTGCGGGTCCAATCTACTGCGTGCATGTTACGCACCAAATCTTCTAGAACATCACCAATATCGTGGTTTTCGTTCAGTCACCCTTATGCCTTCGCATGCAGATCCTATTCCCAGCACGCAACATTGGTATCACGACTTCACACTTTCGTGCTTCACGCATTGAATTTCGGTTGAGTACGACACTCTGTATCAGGGAATCCAAGACTGTGCTAACATCCAGCTACAAAGCCAAGGCCTCACGGCGCCGTAGAAATATTCACGTGGTCAATTCGCCTCGAACACAGGTCCACAAATGTACTATCAATCGTTCTGCTCATGAGGTGGCGAGCTTTTGACAGCCATGTCCCGCGAGCCTGGTTGTTTCTGGCGGCTCGCGCACTGACACCCGCGGGCCTTCCTGAAACCGGGACAACACCTGCGCGTGCGCCACGTAAAATAGATTGCTCAGTGTTTCGGCTTCCGCGATACCTACTATCCGCTAATAGGTATGCCTTGGCGGACGGCACCCCGGAAAGAAGGGAAAAATACATACCGCAGGAAGGAGCAGTTAACAGGCGAATTCTGAATGTCGGCACACTGATTTCTGGGGGAGCCCAAAACTTTTGAACGTTCAGGTTATCAACTGAAGCTCTCATTGACTAATTTCCTGGCCCCGTGAAATTACCGATGAACACTACAAGAATGGCACAGTACGCTGCACTAGCCGCGAATAACTCATGCCTCGCCGCCTTCGTCAGCAGGCTCATCGCCGCACTGAACAGCAATGTGAACACAATCAAAACACCCACAGCATTGAACGTATCGCGGTTGTAGTCATCGACCGCCGACGCCGGGATCGTCGCATTGCCACTCTTCAAGTCCGCAAGGTTCGAAATCGCGGATGTGTTGGTTAGATGATACAAGGTCACTACCGGGATGACGAGCAGGATGAAGATGACAAAGGTGATGAGTATGTTGACGAGCTTGTCGATGCGCGAGCTGCTGTAGAAGGAGATGAGCTCGCTATCGGTCTTCGCTTCGAGCTCAGGTGTGCGGAAGTATTTCTTGATCATTGTCAGCTCACACTCACAATTCGCCAGAGCTATCAACATACTTGTAGTGGCGGGTTCTTCGTCCTGAAGACTTTTTGCAGCCCGCGATCTACTTGGCCTATCATCGTTTCTACGCCGCCGTCGAAGCTCGCCCACTCGCGTCCATTATGCAGCGATATAGTGTCTTCTTTACTGCGGATGGAGTCCATTTCAGCATCCATCAGCGGCTTAGTATTGTGATAGTAGCGCCGAACACTGCGATAATTGCGGTCTGAAGGCTTCTGGAAAGATTCTAGTTGGCGGGCTTTGATGAGGACTTTGTCTGCACCTGACGTTAGTCTCATACGCCCTTTCGCAAAATTCGGTTCAGTCGCAATTACCATATTCCATCAGTTTCTCCCTAATCTCGCGCAAAATCACCCGGCGGTTGCGCATGCTGCCCTCGCGAATGGCTTCGCCAACATCGACCTCTCGTGACCTCAAGCGTTGAGGTTTGTCCTCGAAGTCATCTGCATCAATATCGTCAAGTTCTCTTTCCAGCGAAGTGATCTCGTCTTGCAAATCAAGAAGCACACGGGAATGGAGATAGCTAAACGATCGATATAGCGAAAAATTCGCCTCGCTTGATTGGAAAGCTGCAAGTCGCGGGAACCCTTTGGGCGTATCCTCAACTAATCATGTGAGCAAGCGAACAGTCGTGGTAGATCATAGCAACTAACGCTTGCGTGTCTTAGTTTCGACAACGTCCAAGGGATCTGGCGTAGATTTGAAGGAACCAGTTATGCGTCGCAGAAAGGTTGGTTTCTTTTCATCTTCTACTCGAATACGATATTAGTCACGATACATCCTGATCCATGCTGCTGTAGCACCAAACTCGAAGCTCGGAGATCACAGATCACCAACATCTACCGCAGGAACCAACTGTGACGGAAATGATGTAATGCGCATCCTATCATCTGAAGCTATACACGGTGCCACTAGATTTTCAGGTCGACGGAAAGGCTCTGTGTATAGCCTTAGATTGTTGGGCGGGCTACTAACCTGGTCATTTTCCGTCGTCGTTGAGAACCTGCAGTAAGATCAAGCGCTAGTGTCGTATCTCGCGTGATTGATGTTTAGGGTGTTGAGTCCAAGCGAGGCCATTTGGGGGCCAAATCAGAGATGACCTACGAGGCTGTGCACTCTGTGCTGACGAGCGGGTTGACTGCGATGAGGGGCGGGCTGCGCAGTCATCTTCTTCAGCAATCTCAATAATCGCATCTCCTAGAAATGTGGTGTCCGTGTCGGTAGGTGAGGTTGGAGAGTGCGCAGGTTTCTCGTCCACGCAATTCAGTGTGTCTCCGGTCCATGTGCGAGCGGGCATTGTACCAGTAAGATTGACAGAAAAGTGAGTGTAAGAGGAACAAGTGAGAATGTCCCGCAAGTGGAAGACAGAGCGGTCATGTAGAACTGAATTGTGGCTCACAGAATTGTGGCGGGTAAATATGTTTATGTACGTAGCGAAGAGCCATTGCACCCATGTGTTCGCGATCGCCCTACCCTGAGACACAGCCTTAATGCCTGTGCGCCATTGGCTGCACCGTATTACTCTGCTGCCTGGGCAAGAGAATTCCGGTGAACACAGCCTCAAAAAGATGTACACTGCAGCTGAGTTCAGCTCCCCTGTTTTAAGTCCTTCTCGCGATACCAGGCGCCTTTGTTATGAAGCGACTGTGTGAGTGGCTCGAGCAATTGGTATTCAGTGTAACCTTTGGAGCCACTGAAACGAGACTTGCTAATCTGGTAGCTGCCTTTCATCCTGGTAGATCCAATCTTTTCTGACATGTGGACCTGTGCGCCGTCGCGGAAGCGGGGTTCTGGCTGTTCTAATCAGCATGCCGCGTGAACTGTACGAAATTGCAAAGAGGGCTCACCTTCGCAGCATTGATATCTAGCCTTACACCGGACTTGATGCCGGGAACCGTCTCGTCTGCTGAATTCTCCAAATACTCAGTCTGCAAACTATCGTCAGCTTTGCAAGGCACATGTGTCACTCGGCATGGCGTCTTACCTCGACAGTCACAGTTGACTGGTTCTCGAGCGCGTTAGTCGACATTTTTGCTGAGGACAGGGCGTGAAACGTTTATATAGGCACAATGGTGACTGGGCAGCCTGATGATGAACGCTCTCAAGTGCGAACAGGCTATCTATGATATACAAGCGTTGTGACAGGCCTCCGATTGAAAGTAGGTACAATGGCCCCAGGCATCACATGCGTTGAGGGAGGGGGCTGATATCGCAGCACAGCCGCTTACTGCAGGTTGACTACGACAGAAAGCAGACAAGGTTGTCTGCTCGCCCCAAGCTGCACACCGTAATACTAGCCTTCGATTACGACGGCAATGCTCTTTGTGTAGCCTCGGACACCCTGGTCGCTTTCCGTCGTAGGTGGTAACGGCGCTGAATTGTCACGATGGGGTCCGCAAAAATCGCATCGGTGCTGACACCCAGAAACAGCAACTGAAGACATGATTACTGTATCCTTGGGGCGCCTAACATGATCGATATCGAAAGAGTGTGATGGGGTGGTTGATGCTCATGGCTTAGCCCCCAAAAAAGAATGATGTTCGCCCCTGACCACGCGAACGATTGGCGGGGTGATCTAGCCTTGAGTCCGAACCATCCTTCCCGCGTTTGCATGTCCCACACAAGATGGGGGCCGAAGGAAGGCTGAAAGATGGGAACTACTCTCGTCAGCATGGCCTTTGCTGTGAACATCTCCAGCCTTATTGTCCTGCAACTTCCTCCGTGATCAATGGCTCTTACCAACATCACAGCCGCACGCATCGTCGAGGCCATGGAGAGCAGCCTCGTACCACGCAACGCCAACCTGCTGAAGAACAAAGTCGTTCATGCCGACATTCGCGTCCAAGGTATCGAAGATGACACCAACGGACCGGAAGAGGACGTGATGAGCGTGCAGCTTGTCGAGCAGCCAAACCCGAGCTCCCAAGACATCGAAGACCAGGAGCGAGCCGAAGAGATGCGCATGTGGTGGAACAATGAGATGAGGAAGCACATGAATCAGCCCGATGGCTATGCAAAGGTTGCTGTGCTGTTGATAAAATGGGCAGATGAGTTAGACGACATCAAGACGAAGGACGAGGTTTGTCTCTCCAGAATTTCATGAAGATACCCTGGCTAATCAATCTGCGTAGGCTGTCGAGCTCGAAGAACTTTTCCGCGATCGTTTCCACTACGAGGCCCAGACCATCGAGCTCAACGTTCGCAAGAGGCCACAGCTGCAGCTTGACAAGCACATCAGCAACTTCCTCCTCGACCACGACGGCCCTCATAATCTGCTCATCGTTTACTACACTGGTCACGGGATCTTCCACGACGACAAGGAATACCTAGAGCTGACAGCTTGCATGAATCCTTCATTGGGCCGAGGCTTCAGCAGAGACGCGAGAGCGAACTGGAACAAAGTGGAGGAAAAGCTTCGAGATGAAGAGGTTGAGGGCGACGTCCTCACCATCCTCGATACATGCTACGCGAGCAATCTGGTGAAGAAGTCTGGGAAGCAAGAGACGAAGAAGTTTGAGCTGGTGGCTGCATCTGCGATTAACCAACCCACAGCATCACCTGGCATACACAGCTTCACGCGTGCCCTTATTGATAGCTTAAAGGAGCTATTGGATGAGAAGAGGGATCCTATCTCGACATTCCGGCTTGTCCAGAGCATCAACCTCAACAAAAACCGCAGCGACGAACAAGCCCACGTCTGGGCCCGCACTCAGCACACCGATCAGCACATCTTCCTTGCGCCCCTAAAGCAACACAAGGATATTACGCAACTCCCGACTTTCCGCTCTGCTCCCGGCAGCTACCTGACTCTACGCTTTGGTCTTCGAGATGCAGCTTTGAATAGGGAACAAATCGAATCTATGACCAAGGCCCTGTCCAACTCCTTGTTCAACAAACCGATGGTGGGACTAAGGAAGGTTGAATGGGTCGAAATGAAGCCTGCCCCACCAATGCCTCATTTCGATCGTGTCGCATTGGTCATGTATGCGGCTACGCAATGGAAGAAGGTCATACGGCAGAGGAAGCAAGACCGTGCGTCGCAGTTAGCATCTCAGAGAACGGTCGATGAAGTCACCTTTCCTGAAGCCGTGAACCCGAGTCCGACATTACTGAAGCGTGCAAATGATGATCTGGATGGTATGCCAGATGCGAAGAGGCGGTATCTCGATGTGTCGCAACCGCCATCGCCCCCGGTGTCCAACTCTTCGCGCATGGGAGAATAAGTCAACGCTTGATATATTGTTCCTTCGCTGTTGTATTAGCTCTACCTTTTGTACTGTTATAGATACCCGTGGCTTCGAGCTGCATTGTCCATATGGATTTAAATTGTTTTCGACAACTTTATCACTCATGATGTACAACCCTATTTCATGGGCATCTTCTAATCATCCTTATTTTCGCGTCGCACCTTACAAAGCAGCCCGGCGCGGCGTTAGAAGTAGCTGGTCGCACTAAAACCATGCATTAGCACTTCCACTTGCGGAGCGCTCCTTACCTCTGACGCTTTACACGCGCTGGCGCGAGAGACTACCATAACTTCGCGTTGATATAAGTCTGACTACTCTCGCGTGGCACCTTCATAGATTCGTGCAGTACTAATCTAATAATGGTGGCTAAACGCATCATGCAAGACTTCTCTTGGATGAAGCCGCCTTTCATCGTTAGCGCACCAATGCGCATCATGTCTGGCCCTGAGCTTGCCATCGCCGTCTCTCGCGTTGGCGGATTGGGTTTCATCGGACCAGGCGCGAACCCGGATGATACCATCACAGATTTAGTCACAACTAAGAAACTTCTGACCGCGACACCTTTTCAATCACTCACGAAGTCACTACCCATCGGCGTCGGCTTCCAACTATGGAACGGCGACATAAAATCTGCGACTCGAGCTGTGCAAGAGCATCAGCCATGTGCAGCATGGCTGTTTGCGCCTCGCGATGGACAGCATGAATTGGACAAATGGACTGCTGCCTTGCGGAAAGCCTTTCCAGATATTCGTATCTGGATCCAAATCGGAACACTACAAGAGGCTATCGAAGCTGCGAGCAGTACATCACCACCGGATGTCCTCGTCGTCCAAGGCGCTGAAGCAGGTGGGCACGGCAGAGCTCATGACGGCATGGGTTTGATGACTCTCCTTCCCGAAATCAAAGATACACTTCGAGACTCCAACGTGTCACTGTTTGCAGCTGGAGGTATTTCAGACGGACGAGGTATCGCTGCCGCACTTGCACTTGGAGCAGACGGCGTAGCGTTGGGCACCCGCTTCCTCGCCTCGACCGAAGCACGCATAAAGAAGGGCTATCAAGCTGAGATTGTGAGAGCTACCGATGGAGCTAAGTCTACAAAGCGCACGACTTTGTATAATCAGCTCCGAGGTACGAACTGGCCGGATCAATATGCTCCGAGAGGGATTGTGAACAGGACGTGGCATGATCATCAAGCTGGTGTGCCATACGAAGAACTCAAGAAGCTGCATGATGTTGTGGAGAAGGCTGGAGATGAGGGATGGGGCGTTGAAGGCAGATTGGCGACGTATGCTGGTGCAGGGGTCGGGCTCATAAATGATGTCGAAGACGCAGGTGTGTTGGTGGAGAGGCTTAGAAATGAGGCGGGACATGTTGCCAAGGACCTCTTAACATACCAGTAAGATTTGGACAGTTTCCAGGCTATTCAAAAGTGTTTGGGCCGAACTATAGTTTTTTCACGCACTTCTGCATCATTCTTAATCTCTCCCGAACGTCATCGGCCGTGTATAGGGTCTTAGTTCTTTGGACTTGAGTGTCAATGTCCCACTCATCTTCATAGTCCAGCCATCCAACGTCCTCCAGCCTGGGCACTCCCACCTCCAAGCCTTCAACATCCTGGATGTTGTCCAGGAATCTTCCGTTCGCGTCCAATGGTGATTGATAGTCGCCCAGGGTGTAACCATTTTTGTCAATTTTCCTACCATGGAAGATAGCGTGCCGGATTGTCACTGTCTCAATCCTTCTGATGAACTTGGAAAAATATGCTATAGTTGATAGGATTGTCAAAACCGCAATGACTCCTGATTTGTAATCGCCCGGGGACCTTGCCCTGGAAAGAACCAAACCTTGCAGTTTGCTCAGCATCTCTTCAATCCGTTTATGCTATATCCACAATTGCCACCGCGGCATCCTCGCAACGTTGACCATTTCCAGGGTCAGTAACTTCGGACGGCTCAATCGGAACTCTTTGTCCAAGACATGTATCGGATCAACGGCTACCATCGTAATATTGTTGACCGCTAAGCTTCCGGGCAATGGAATTGACAACGGATAATCGAAGAGGTCCATGTCGCAATGAGTGTAAGTTGTGCACCATTTCAAGCGATCGTTCGCCCCAGTTATTCCAGCGCGTCTCAGACGGACAGCAATGGATTGCGAACCGCGAAATAATTTTCCCAGCATATCATTCATCTTGGAATTGCTCGAGACTTTATCACATGCTCGCATGTCTGCGGGTTGGTCTGCCGCAAGTAAGTGAGTTCTGGTGTTACAACGAATCTTAAACCTGTCGCGTGAGGTATCTATTGATGTACTTGCTCCGAGTTTTGATGTTCTTCTTAGATGCAATGGAGCCATAGCTGTCGCTATGGTCGCAGAGAGAAATACGTTAGCTATTTAGGCGAAGGTGCTCAACGTGCTGAGCGACTTCTTCAATCGAAAGACGGTTGGAAAGCCTGTCTAGACTCGAAGCATTGAGCTCCTATGGAATTGTCTGGATATGAGCAATGGATGGTCGAGACGCTGCAGCAGCCAACCGTCGGCATGTCGATCGGATGTTTTCAACGTCCGCTTGCAGCGGGTTGTAATCTGGGTATGAACTGCTCTCCTCTCCTCATCGGTGCAGACAAAGCAGGCGATAATCTTTTCGAGCAACTCGATAGATAACAAATCTATCGTATGAGCCAGTAATGTTGTTGGTGCGGGTGGAAGACATGTCCACCCCGGTACAGTTTGGCGAAACGTCGTTGCCTAACGGCTAACGTAGTAAGTTATCAGTCCGTGCCCGGTGTTAATAGGCCACGCCCCTGCTACCATCGTCATCTCCCCCAGCCACACGAGCACATGGGTTGAAAGGGTTGCCCTTTAATGTAATGACGTCTTATAGAGTGCCATGATACGTTTCATTGGAGCCTGATGGCTTTTCATATGTTCAGCGTGACCCAAATGGAATTGGTGTGTCGCCTGTTCCCCTCTGCTCATGGGAATTATTCACCATGGACGAAAACTGTCCACCAAAAGTGCAAGAGCCATTAAAACCAAACACCGTACAAGCTCAGATGCCACATATGGATTTGAATTTGACTCAGCATGGACATCTTGAGGCGCGCTCGGTACGCACATAATACTGGCATTGGCTGCTCGGGTGCTTCTTCACTCGCATACTGACTTGACGTCAGATTCGAACAGATGAGACACATGCGGCTGCAAAAGATCGCGAAGAGACTACAAGGACCAAAGAACCTGCCTTAGAGGTGGCGAAAGAGTCGCTGGACATCACTTCTGGTGCGACTACTGGCAACGTCAGTCTCCAAAACACCATAGGGGACACAAACACTGGCAGCGCAAACTCCGGCATCGATTTTAGAGGGTCTGGATCTGCAAGAATTGATGGAAAGACTGGCGATATCACCGCGAAGTAAGTCAGAGAGGCGGAATCGGGCATGTTACGTCATAACGATTGAGTAGATCGGACGGTACGGTCCGTACTTAATGACAGCTAGTTTGTGCTAGAGTGAAGTCCTGCATTTTGCAGAGAACATAGAGAAAAGCCCCTTGATGATATGTTTTTCCACACTATGCTAAATGTAGTGTTTCCTTGTGAGCATTCGATCGGACTGGGTCGGAATGATGCATTGTGCGGTTGATGCTTATCCACCATAGCGCTATTGCACATAGATTGGAGGATTCGAGCCTAGTCCACTTCCGCACCCGGTGCGGGGCACTTCTCTCCGTTTCATGGAAGTGATCTATGTTTGTGTCTCCCATTAGAATGGCACAGCAGTCATATGCTCTCTTATGTGTGCTTTATAGGTACGGCGCAGCCCGTGATGTGCTTTAGTAAGTGCGCAACGTCGTACCCGGGTTGCGCATTGGCTCTCAACAACCAGCAAAGCTCGGCAACAAACCTGGAACCCAGCGTACGCAGCCAGATGTCAGCTCGCGGAACCTTCGCCACTGTCTTGGGATCCTGAAGTCTTCTGGCTCCTACACAGATTGTACACCTAATAACTCACATAAATTGCTTGCAACTGCTTGAAACACAGGCCCCACACTTTTCGCGGCTTGTCGCAAACACCACCCGCACATGCATCTTCTGCGGAGTGGACCGGCTGGCAACTTTAGCCTGACTTTCTTCCACGCCAGCGATCGACTTCCATCCTACGCTATATTATCGCATACTTGGGGCAGACATGAGGACGAAGTCTCCTTCAAGGATATTGTCGATGGCGAAGGCAAAGACAAGGCAGGATACCGAAAAGTTCGCTTTTGCCACGATGAAGCAGCCAGCGACGGGCTACAATACTTCTGGATAGACACGTGCTGTATCGACAGATCTAGTAGCGCGGAGCTTACTGAGGCCATCAATTCCATGTTTCGCTACTACCAAAATGCAGCGCGATGCTACGCATATTTATCCGATGTTTCGACCGAAGAGTGTTGGAGGGAAAGATTGCAGAAAAGCCGATGGTTTACACGCGGGTGGACGTTGCAGGAGCTCTTAGCACCAAAGAGCATTATGTTCTTCTCAGTGGAGGGTAGCAACTTGGGAACTCGCACGTCGTTACGGCGTGACATTTCTCAAGTAACACGTATCCCAGAACATGTTCTAGAAGGAAGCCCGTTAGCCAACGTGAGCATCGAAGAGCGGCTATCCTGGGCAGATGATCGAAGCACAAGACAAGAAGAAGATCGGGCATACTCTCTTCTTGGCATATTCGATGTCTACATGCCGCTCGTGTACGGAGAAGGACATGCGAACGCCTTCAGGCGCCTCAAGCGAGAGATCCAAATGGCTTCGATGGGTATGTAGCTGCCAAATGCAGTGAACACTTCACACTCTGGTCCCATGCTCACTACTCGCCTTATGCGACTGGCAGACGAAGACAAAACATCCATTACCCCGAGTAATGACCTCTACCGAACGCGTCCACCAGACTCACTTTTCGAGATTGCCGGAAGAACGGGCAACATCCAAGTCCAAGGTCGCGCAACGGATGTGAATACTGGTATATGCTATCGAATTAGTGTATGTTAAGCGCCTCTTGTGCCGGAACAACTCTTTCACCGATTATACAGCTAACAACCATATAGACACGAGATGCGAGATTTCCAGCAATAATTTCAGGCTGTACAGGCTCTATCGTTATCATGGACAACGCACGCAACCTCAATACTGGGATCTCTGTACACCAGTTTGAGCATTCGGACTAGGTAGACCCATCAATTGTCCACCGTCACAAGTTCATCCTCCATCGAACACAAACAATGGTTATTTAACCTTGTCCACAATCCGTACAATGTACAGAAGTAGAAGCAGCCCTAACTCTGTATGATCTGGTAACTCATTAGCGGTGTCGCGATCATTAGATGTGTCAGCCGTCTTCGTTAACAACGCAAGATCGCTCACTCACGTGCAGAGGCTCGGGCATCAAGGCGAGACAACGAGTGATGCTTGAAGTGTTGGCCGATCTTACAGCTCTCGGAATCGCTCCCGTACTGCGGTATCCTTCAACCCTGCAGATCAAGGGTTACAACCCTAACCTAACCCAAATGCGTATTGAACGTTTGATATGCCGATGTGTCAGAGGGATCAGGCAGCGCAACCAGCGCAACCAGCGCAGCCAATTTGCTCAAAGGCTCTGCTCGTAAGTCTCCAAGGATGTCCTGAAAGACGCGCAGGAATGAGCGCGAAGCTGATACATGAAGTTTTTTGCTCATCAGGCGTATGTTACGGATGTCTGACCTTTCTAGTTTGGTAGAAACAGGCAATCTGAAGAGCTGTTCTAGATCTTGTGGGGAGAGGAGGTAATCGAAGATCTGCTCGTGGAGCTTACGCCGTAAGCTATCCATGTCGAACAATGTTGGAGTCGAATTACGATTATGTTCTCAACGGCCGAGACTAGCGGGACATACTTGAACTGCGACCGGGGTGAATAGTCAACCACCAGGCGACCATTTGGGTCTTAGCGTGAATCCCTGCGCAGATGCGGTTGCCGGCGAACTGCAAGGCGACCTCGGGAAGACGAACGCCAAAAACCCGGAATACCTTGTCGGGCAACGCGCAAGTTGATGAAGTCTAACATTGTGAGGTCTAGCGGGAATTGGCAACTGCTAAGATCGTACCTGTGTATGCCTGACCCATCGGTCACACCTCCGCCTTCGGACCGACTGCAAATTCCCGGTCACGGCTCACCTTCTTGGAAGTTCACACGCGAGTCAGCTGGGAATGAGAGGCTCTCTTCGAAGTCTCCTTTGAAACACCAACAGCGTCCCGCTGACAGTTGCTGATATTGCAACCAACTCATGAATGCCAGTAGACTGTAACAGCTTCAAGGCGCGATTGCTGATTATTTCTCTTCGTTGTTGAGGATAATACAAGCAGAACCAAAGAAAACTGCACCTGCAAAGCCTGTGAACAATGATAGCTTATGCTGCTATCGAATGCGGAGGCTTTTCGGGACTGAAGTCTGCGTGTAGATAAGACCACAGCCATGGCTTTCTCACTTCCATGGCGCGTGCTAGAGGGGCAAATCAATTGTCCTCTCAGTGACTTTTACCACGTAATACAAGCCTTAATGTTACCAGCCATACAGGTTAGACGTTCCTTCAAAAGCTGATGCTGTTGCTAGCTGTGATCCAAAGATTTCACTATTTTCATGTAATTCGCGAAGACGCCGTCCAGCTGAGTAGTTTCTGATGGACTGGCAAACAAGTGACAAAAGTTGAAAAGGCTCACTCGATTCATCATTACTCCATGATCTTGCCTAGTAGCTTCATCTAGGAATGCAAAAGTTTTACCGCATTCTTACATTGAACAAGTTTGCGTGGCTATGGCGGAACTCTGACATCGATTGCAAGTTTGCCAACTTGGAGTACGTACCCAAGGCTATCACGATGCTTTCCAATGCGGGCATTCTATACGCACTCATTCACATACCAGTTTCGAGATTATCAATGTCTCCACACGTGCGCGATCAATGTAATCCATCGTCTCAAAGTCGCTCAACGCAAAGCTCCATTGGATTCGATAGTTAAGTAAAAGTACTCCTGAGATACTGCAGGGTCATGTGTAGCGAGAATCACACTACGTAGAGTTTCCTGAGAGCGCGCAAGTACCGCGTAGATTCGCCGCATGGAGCTATATTTATCATACGGCGAAGTCGCGAATAGGAAGTAAGCACTTGATTATTGATTCATGCTGCGCGGATCTGACAGTTCCGGCTTGCGCTGGTGTGCCTGGAGATTGGCGTAAGCATGAATAAGCTTTGAATTGAACATGGTACTCCAGACTGACCATATACCAATCACCCGTGCATGAAGACGATAGCCACAATGCCGGCAAATACCCTCACCTTACCTTTGCCCTATGAAGCTCTCATTGGTGAAATTCATGCAACTTAAGGTTCGAATACATATGTTGAGTCATCTTATCGAGCCAGTAACTGCGCATTTCAAACGTATTTGATGTGCGACCATGCTCACCACGCATGCCATGTGTCTTTAGGTTTCTCCGGTCATTTCGCGCTGGGTACATCATCGTGATATCGCCGAAGTAGATGCGCCAATACATGCTGAGGAACGTAGTAAGGGATGCGAAGCTATCGCCACTTGTGTTGGGTGCGCGTTGCCAATATCACTTCTCGTATTTGCTATCAAGCTATTGTACACATATCCTGGCCGTAAAGCGCAGAGCTTGCTTTTGTCGGTGAAAAACCTCTGGCGGCTTGACGCACTGAGCAGACCGTATCCAAGTACAAACTCGAAGTTCAGAATTAATAGAATTTCCATACGTGCTATGGATTACATCTGAAGATTTGGTTGCTACTCCAGCGGAATTGTAACGAAACCAGGAACCAGAAGATATATTTCCATGTCACCAAGGTACATCACGAGACATTTGACACCGCATGAAAACTGGCATGGTCTCGAATGGAACGGCCGCGGGTACGACATTAATTGGCTAACTAGCTAAACAAAGAATGACCCTTAGCATCACCTGGTCCACACGACAGGCTTGACAAATTGTTTTGTGTACAGGAAAGTAATTACAACATCTCCATCTACTGCATGACAGTGGAGTTTGCGGCTCCAGCGATGTTGTAGTACTTGGACTTGGGGTAGTACAGGTTGTTCTTGGCTTGCTTCAGGCCGGTAGAGCCACCGAGCTGCTTCACAACGGTCGAGATAATGCTCTTGTCGTTGGTGATCGGGAGGTCGCTGGAGGAGTCCCACCACCATGCGCCACCAAGACCCTCAGACTTGAGGAAATCAGTCTTCCAGACGGCAGTCTTGGGAGTATCGAAGCTGACTACCTCCTTCTTGACGGGGTCCCAGCTCCAGCTGGAGAGGGTCTCCTTGTCCTGGTAAACTTTGCTGCCGTTAAGAGGAAGGAACTTGTAGTCGAGTGTGCCAGGCTCCCAGGTACCCTCGCCAGAACCGTTAAACTTCTGGCCAAGACCGCGCTGGTCCTTGCTGAGATCGACAACGTTGCCGAAAGAGCGTCCGTACAGGGGCATACCGAGAACGATCTTGCAAGGGGAGGCGACGTTCGCCTTGTAGTAATCGATGGCCTCCTTGGTGTTGAACGGCATGAACTTTCCGAGAACAGAGTCCCAGCCGTCAGTGGTCTTAGGGTTAGTCTTGCTGGCGTACACGTTACTCTGGTGACCGGTGAAGTTGGAGAAGCCACCGCCCTGGTAGTCGAAAGCCATCAAGTTCCAGTTGTCGACGTACTGGTCCATCTCCTTCATGCGCAAGACGCTGTAGCGAGAAGGTCCAGCGGGGGCGGAAATGCCCAGGTCGAAGTGGTAGCCGTGGGCGTTGGCGGCTGCGTACTCGTCGTAAGCCTGGTTTGTTAGCTTGCATCGTCGGAGTTCGGGCATTAAGTTCTTACCTTGCGGCAGCGCATGACAGTGTCGAGGAAGTTGGCCGCATCGGTCGCATCCTCAGCGTACTCCCAGTCAATGTCGAAGCCGTCGAGTCCAAGGTCCGCGATCAGCTGCAGAGAGCTGTCGCAGAACTTTTGTCTTCCAGCCTCGGTGGCAAGCGCGGGCTTGAAGTTGCCCCTCCAGGTCCAACCGCCGACAGAAAGGATAACCTTCAGGTTGCGGTTCTTCTGCTTCAGCTTGTAAAGCTGGTTGAAGTTACCAAGCAACTGCGATCCATTGGTGGCAACATCTCCCGGGTAAGGAAACTGGACGTCAGACCACTCGTCGGAGAGAAAGACCTCGCCAGTCTTGTTGTTCACGTTGGCGAAACCGTAGTTAATCTTGGTGAGGTGGTCGGCCGGGAGGTCGGTGACGAAGTGTTTGCGTCCGTACATGGCCCAGTTAGTGTAGAACACCTGGGATTGGTACTGCTGACCGGTCTCGCGGGCGGCGATGACATGGTCGCGCGGGTGAACCTTGGGAGCAGCTTGGGCGATGGACGCCAGAGAAAAGAGCGTGGTGGCGCTAGAGAAACGCATGTTGAAAAGAGAGGACGGCGGATAGCCAAGTGTTGAGATCGAAGGTCAGAAGGGAAGTGCAGTGAGCGATGGTAGTGAATCAAGCAGGAGAAGTCTTCATCAATCTATTATACTTGCCAAAGGTCAGCCCAAGACGCGGACGGGCCATGCTTCGGTGACTGAGCCGCGGCCTTTACATTTGGCCGCAAAGCTTCCATCACCGTGGGCAGATTAGGAGATCCATGTCAAACATCCGTGAGGCATTGATTGCGAAATTCTCCTTGCAAGCATAGCTAGAGAAGCGACAAAGAATCCGGGGTGTTTGTTGGTCGTGGGGGCTTCGCGCAAAGTTTATTGGTTAGCGCAAACGTAGTCGGCCCTTAGCTAAGCCTTGTTTCATGAAAATTGTCCCAAGGAACCAAACAATGCGCTCGCCGCATCTGATTGACTTTCGAACTGGACGGTGCGTCCTTGGTGCGGTGATGGTCGGAACTCTCCGCCACGGAGCATGCTGCGGTAGGGCTGAGGTCGGTAAGGGACGCGTATTGTGAGCGCGCAGCTCGACAGTTGACAGGCGTTGCCAAGACGAATCGGCACATCTGTGGTGGTTGTACCCCTGCACATGAGCTCTTTTGAGTTTAGAGGTGATCTTGCGGCTTTATTTCGTTGCTTACGGTTATGGATGCGGCTTGGAAGAGCAAAGCCTTTGAGAGTGTATGGACAAAAATACTTCAGTGGTGCCAGACTAGCTCATCTCTACAGGGCGTGATTCTCGGAAGAACACTGCGATTTCGGTTCATACTGAACCGACACCCTCCTGGCTACCACCAATGCCCGCCGCAGATGTTTTCGCAGCCTTCAACGTGACCGTTTGGTTATCGTCATATACATATTGTCCTGTACGAAGACGCCATTGTAGTTGCGCGAATGCCACGGCTTATCTGGAGAGGCAACAGCCCAGTCGAAATGTCGTGTAAACTAATACACCTGTCAGCCACAGTGCGCATGGTCGCACATTCCAGAACATTTCTTGAACTTACTTCGGAAGGTCACCTTGGTGATCTCAAGCCATGCGATCGATTTTCCCAAGCATTGATACTTGCCGTAACCAAAAATCATCTCTGTTGTGCGTCGCATCGCAGCCAGCCGTTGGACACTAACTTGATCATTTTCCTCAACCAACCATCGCTCCGGTCGGAATGTTCCAGCATCTTCACCAAAGATAGTCTTGTCGCGATTCACAGCCCAAGCGGTGTAGCCGATGTTCGTGCCGCCGGGGAAGTAGTGTACATGGCCGTCGATCGTGAAAGTATCACCACCCACAGGAACCTTCTTTGGCACGACATCTGTAATGGGAGGGTGAATGCGCAGTCCTTCCCGCACAACAGCTTGCAGATATGGCATGTTCTTCAGGCAATCGTCCGAGACAATGCTTCCAGCAGGTGGCGCAGCGCCGGAGAGCACATTGGCATCGATCTCAGCGCGCAATTTTGAGCAGACGCGTGAATGTGTAGTGAGGTACAACAGAATACACCGTAATGCGGTCGCAGTCGTGTCACTCCCTGCTATAATCTGCAGCATCGCCTCAGTGAAGACTTCTTCCTTGGTCAAGCCATGTCGCACAAAGGATGAGAGCATGTCTGACTTTCCCTCAACCGACTTCTTGAAGCGCGCGTCGATGATCGCGCGTGCTGTGCCCATCAGCTTTCCAAAACCACTCTTGTCACTTTCCTTTGGGCCGAGGAGGTGGGCGATTGGCGGCCATTGAAGGATTGACGTCAAGCCGAGCGCCGTGGTAAACTTCATGATAGTGAGGCCTTCTTCCGTGGATTTGATGTAGTCATTGAGATCATCATCGGCCTTGATGTCGCCAAAAGGCTCACCAAATCCGATAGTGCTAATTACGTCGATGGCAAAGAGCTGGATCTTGTGGCCAATATCAACAGGTCTCGCACCAGCATCGGTACTGAGATACTTCGATGAGATAAGACACAGAAGTTCCTGGACGCAGGCATCGATGTCGTGTTCCAAGGTCAGATTCTCTTTGCCGGAATAACCAGCAGCCATCTGCGCGCGCCGTTTGGTGTGCCTAGACTCATCGACCTCACTGAAGATGTGATCCTTTCCTGGCTCAACTCTCGTTGCCTTGTTGAACCACCACGACCTGGTATATGGAGATCGAACGCCGTTCATGTGAGCGAGCAACTCTGGTGACGAGGTAATCAAGTCGTTTGGACCAACTCGTGCGATGGGGCCTGGCGGAATTTGTTAGCCTTCTTACACTTTGTTGATTACGATGGAAAGCGACTGGGGTGTCTGAAGCTATACACAGCACCTTATTGTCGCTAGGCTTCCCTAGCAACATTGCGAATAGCTCCAGGCTGTTAGATGCCCCGCAGTATGGTGCTGTGGCGATAGTTCGGAGTGCAGACTGACCATACTTGTCGTTGACTGCTTGATATGCAAGATGCGAGTCCACGCTAATGATGCGACTCGAGTGCCATACTTCACACCAGCCTGTGCTGAATGGCCCTTTGAAGGCTGAAAGGCGTCTGTATGCGTGGATCTTGGTCGCTACATAGACCAACACCGCGGCTGAAGTGAGCAGGAACCTCAATGTGTAGAGTTCTGTAAGTATGGACATGTTGGAAGTGCTGCTAGGATATCATATGGTTGCTCAGCCTCTTAAGCATGCTGCTTTCGATTTCTATTATGCAATTCATGCATGAGATCGAGTTCTGCAGGCAGCGTTGCCCAGCTACGTGTCAACAGACCACTGTTCCCAGCGCCTGCTGTGTGTTTTGATTGGGTAGCTGGGAGGTTTTCAGTGTCCACGGGATGTTTTGCTGAGACACATATGTAGCTGTGAGTGGTGCTGATGGCAGTCTCGCGACATGCATATAAGGCGCGGAGATGGGACCTCCGCAATACTACACGAGCCTATGAGATGATGGTTGCATGGAGCCAAACGGTGTACATGCACGTTGCGTTGCATATTCGAGGTTGTTAATCGGTGCTGCGCACGGGCATGCCTAGGGTTCTGAGCGCCAACGCCTTCAGTAGCTGGGTAATTGGCTGAGCGCGACGTGAAGTCATATCGATCATTGTACCCGACGAGGTTGATGGGGATATGATGGGTGGTAGCGAGAGATCGGGACTGGAAGCGGCGACGAACGTCCCGAACCGCTTACTGCGTGCCCCGCACGTCACTCACTGACCGTTCACATTACCTACCTAGCGCGATGCGCCAATGCTGCAGACTTTCAAACCTTTACGAGGACAGATGACGAGGATCTTCTAGTCCAGTTCACAGTGGATGGGTGAGCGTCTTCCGCACCTAAGTCGTTTCGTTCCAACCTCGGGAAGGTCACAGCTGGCACCACGTGATCAAGACGCGAAGATGGCTTCAGGCCATCGACACTACCAAGGCATGTATATGCATCGGAAATCCTGGCAAAAAACAAGCTATCGCCTTCACCGTTTTGCTAAATCGTCCCCAAGGCCGGCAAAAAGCATCTCACCTGCATTTGGGCCAACCATATCTCTCTTAACAAAGCAGTCTAGTGTGGGCAGATATCGCCCGAGATGGGAGATCATACATAACGCACCTGCTCACAGGGTGGAATGACAATCCTCAGTGGTTCTTGATCAGCGCACGATGTGGAACCAGCATCTCTTTCCTCTCATCTGCTTGGCAGTCGCGTTGGGACATGCGACACCCAATGCAGTTCCCAAACGAAAGACTTCCCAAAATCCTCAACAAGTACGATTTCATCATCGCAGGTGGAGGCACCGCAGGCCTGACCGTGGCCGATCGTTTGAGTGCCGCTTTTCCAAACAGTACGATGGCCACGCTGTTCGAGTCCTACTGATATTCACACCGACCCCCAGAAACAGTGCTAGTCGTCGAGTATGGCGACTTGGAATACGCTCGCGGCGCCTTCGATCCACCGGATATCGTATTTGGTGCGGCGACTACAGCACAAAGACCTGGCCTGTTCAACTTCTAGTCTCTGCCCAACGCGGAAGTGAAGAACAGGACCGCTTCGTTGCTAGTCGGAAAGACTGTTGGAGGAAGCAGTGCTGTCAATGGCATGGTTTTCGATCGGCCGTCGCGCTTTGATTTCGAGGCATGGGCGCAGGCTTGTAGTCCCGAATTCGATGCCAGCGAACATAAATGGGATTGGGAGGGAGTTTTCCCCTACTTCAAGAAGGTGAGTGGGTGCCAGTGCCCAGATGATTTCACAGCTAACATCTTTTAGAGTGTCACTTTCACCGAACCCCTACCTGAAACTGCGCGCAAGTACGGCTATACGTGGGACATGGCTTATGCCTACAATGGCTCGACGCCAATCTATTCGAGCTTCCCACCATTTTTGTGGGCTGATTATACAATCATGAGAGAAGCCTTCCAAGACGCTGGTGTAAAAGCTGCCGCGGAATGTGCTGGGGGCGACAAGGAAGGTCTATGCTGGATGCCTATTTCTGAAAACCCTATGACGTCTCGTCGGTCTCACGCTGGTCTTGGACATTATGCTGCACTCCCACCAAGGCCCAACTACCACCTGCTTGTAAGGCATCAAGTTGTTCGCGTGATATACCCGAATGGCATCGCCTCTGGGCCCCCTTCAGTCGAGGTACGCTCGCTGGATGATGGTAGCTTCTCCAACATAACTGCAGTCGCGGAGGTCATCATCTCGGCAGGTGCGCTCCATACGCCAACTATACTACAGCGAAGCGGTATCGGCTCGCGAACTTTCCTCGAGTCTGCGAGCATACCCGTGCTTCAAGCCCTGCCTGGAGTTGGGGCCAATTTTCATGACCATTCCGGCCCTGGCTTGAATTGGAACTATACAAGACCCGGAAACTTCACTCCGATGCCATCTGACATGCTCGACCATGCGTTCGCCGCTGATGCGGCAGCAGGGTTCAATGAGACGCCGGCGCGTGGTCCGTATACGCTAGGCATGTCCAACAGCGGAATCTACCTCTCGCTTGCGAACATGACCACCGTGCACATGTCGATCGTCAATAAAATTCGCTCCATGGCCGCTGGCGACTTTGCTATTCATCTTCCAGACGACTACAAACGCGATGCCACCCTTGTCGCTGGTTATCAACGTCAATTGTCAGTTCTTGCTGACTTTTACGCAAATCCAAAGGCGCCAAGTATGGAAACTCCGTGGGCGACGGGGACACGTGCTGTAGCAATCATGCTTCATCCACTTAGTCGTGGTACTGTGCGAATCAATTTGACCGATAGCCTTTCGCAGCCCATCCTTGACTACCGCAGCGGTTCGAACCCAATCGACTTTGATCTGCATCTGGTGCATCTAAAGTATCTCAGGCGCGTACTTGATACGCCGACCATGCGGAAATACGGTGCGATCGAGACATCTCCTGGACTTAGTGCCCAAAGTGACGATGCCCTCCGTGAATATATCAAGGACGATATGCAGTTCTCGTACATGCATCCGTGCTGTACGGCCGCAATGTTCCCGCGAGAACTTGGTGGCGTAGTCGGACCGGATCTGCGGGTTTACGGGCTGAATTCACTCCGCGTAGTTGATATAAGCATATTACCGTTCTTGGTGAGTTCGCATACAAGTTCGACAGCATATGCTCTGGGCGAGAAAGTACGTGAGACTGAAATCAGAAGCTTACATCTGTACATCCAAATGCTGACTCCAGTAGGCTGCCGATATCATCATTGCAAGTTGGACACTGTGAGACCTGGCATCCAAATTCCTCGTTGTTGGTTTCAACCGCATCATGGGTTGGGATAGAGCTTCCACACTGCATGCGGGCATGCAATCATTGTTTCGCAGCGTGCAGGCTTACCTACTTCAAGTAGTGGCCCGAGGCCCGAAGAAACCAACAAGCGAGACCTGTCACACGACAAGACATTATTGACCTTACGCCTCTGTAAACATGCAGGCGTCTCTTAGAAATCATGAAAAGGTCTAGAAAAAAATGGAAAAGTGGCCAATAGTGCTTCTTATTCTCCCGCTGATCATCTGTCTCGGCCACTTGGCTTCCCTCCGCGAAACTGGCTTCAAACATATTGAAACACGGGACTACCCCGCAAGCATCGCCGAAGAACAACCTTCTGCTCTTTGTGAAGCGTGATATCCGTCATGCAGATGCGAGGATGATATGCGTCACAGTTGAGGTGCGGATTCTGTCGATTGCGAACATGTTCCTGGCGCTCGGCTTCAAAGAAGCGATGATTGCGAACGGTGATGCAGCTCACACGTGATCTAGCTTCGGTGTAACTTGAGCCCAAGGTGTCGAAGCTGCCGCACCCTGAGCAGCAGGGTTGGACGGGCCGACTCGCACCATCGAGAGCATATCAGTCCGAGGGTTGCCAGGCACAATGTAGGCGTTCACTCCATTGTCCCACAACTAATATCTCTTCTCGAGTTGATTCACCAGCAGGCTCTGGGTCGCTCGTTCTTGGGCGTTGAACGTCCTGCTTAATCGTTATACACCTCATAATGGCTGACTCATTCACTCGAAAGCTGTATCCCGATGGAGAGTTGGTGCAAGCGCCCATCGCTACGCCTTTGAGCGGTCCCAGATTGATCTCACCCACTCCCGACGAAATCGAGTTTTGCGACGAGAAATGGCGTTCTTCATCCACCACCTCGATGCACCCATGCGCCGCAGAACAGCGTCGCAAGCACGAGTCCTACACGCTGGCTGGAAGCGTATTCCTCATCACTGGAAACGGAAAGACATTGAACCTTCCTGCGCCTTCGGACAGTCCGGCTGATCCGTTGAGCTGGAGTAAATGGAAAAGAGCTGGCGTAGCTCTGGCCGTTGGTTGGTTCTCGATCGTCGCGTTAGCTGTCGCTCAAGCGGCGGGAATCTTCTTGCGCGTCATCTCCCATGAATTCAATATCGATGTAGGTTGTTCAGTCCATGGTCTTCATCTCACTAACGTTACGAAGAACATCCAAGCATGGCAAATGGACACCTTGGTTACCATGCCTACCTTATTCATGGCTGTTGGATCTTTTCTGTGGATTCCATTGACCATTGGGATGGGGCGTCGTCCGGTCTTCTTGATTGCTTCAGTGACTTTAATAGTCGCTTGCATCGGGGCTGGGTACTCGCAGTCCTTCCCGCAACTGCTGGCATGCATATGCTTCTTGGGCCTCGCCGAAGGCTTTGCCCTCACTGCCGTTAGTTTGCTCAGATCTCCGAACTCTGAATACAATGACTGACAAACTTCAGGCTCTTCTCATTGTGATTGACATGACCTTTATCCATGAGCGACCGAGAACTATAGCCATGCTCTGGTCCATCGCAGGTTTCTTCGGCACTGGACTTGTGGCCATCATTCCATACATTTCCGATGAAGGAACACAGTGGCGATCATACTATCGTTACTGGTCAATTCCTGCGATGATATCGTTCTTCCTTACATTCTTTCTCTTCCCCGAGACCTACTTCAAGCGGCCAACAGTTGCTTTCGATGGACTCATCGTGTTACAAAGTAGCACAGAGAAGACGACAGTTTTCAAAGACATAGAAGTCGACTCTGACATTTACCGCGACCTCCCGGAGCTGCCCACGCAAAACGGAATTCTTGGTCGATACAGCGTCTGGATTTCACCCTTTGCATCGTGGACCGCCATGGTTCGCTGCTACCCGCAAATCGGCTTCTGTCTCATCAACCCAATGATTTTCTGGATGGCCATTGCTGTGGCCGTCAATTATGCCGCTATGTTGTTCATTGGCGCCTCGTACCCGCGCGTCCTCGGCGAAGCGCCATACAATCTTCGCACCGAGCTTGTCGTCCTTGTCAATCTTGCGAGCGCAGTTGGCGGCCTTCTCGCACTCGGGGCTGTGCAACCGGTGAACAGAATTCTCGACCATCTTGCGAAGCGCAACCGTGGCGTTCGCGAAGCCGAGCACTATCTCCTCGTGCTCATCCTGCCAGTCATCACCGGTGCTGCGAGCTCCTTGATTTACGGATGCGCAGTGCACTACAGCCTTCACCTCAGCCTGTACTACTTCGCATACGGATTGAACGGCTTTTCATGGGTCACGATCGCAATTGGTACGACGATGTGGGTCACGGAAGCCTTCCCACGCTGGGCTGCTCCAGCGCTTGCTGCGATGAGCGGCACAAGCTTCTTGGTGAGCTTCGGCTTAAGCTTTGGCTTGAGCCCTTGGATTATCGCGCATGGTTACAGGCTGGTTGGTGTTGAGCTCGCGGTATTCCAGATCTTTACTGGCTTGGTTGTGGTGCCGATCTCATTCTGGGGCAAGAGTGCGCGGCAGGCGATACATGGAAGGTGGGCTGACGAGCGTGGCGGTGCGCTGAGGCCTTTGTAGTTTCGTGTACATTGGACAGATCAATAATTCAACTCGAAGATTTGCTCATTGCGCGAATTGTTGTAATGTCTTTGTACTGCAGGTTATGAACCACGACGGAAAGTAAACCCTGGCCGCTTTCTGTCGTAGTTGACAAAGTAAAGTGGGAGAGGTGGGGGCGGAAGCGACAGGCAAACATGAGGGGTATTTGCGTATGCATGCAGCGCTGCCCCGCAATACCTGCCATTCCAGGAGCAGTTTCGTGCGCATGACAGGGCTGCTGAGGGTATGGACGACAACAAGTCAGCGAGTAAAACCATACAGGGCCCGCGAATAGATCGAGAAACTGTTTTTCAATGTGAGCTCATCCTATTTTGATATCACCGAGTTTTTTGAGATTAACGTCACGATATGATCTGTTGAAGCTGCCCCTGTCGCACCTTCCCAAATGCCGTGCTGTATGAAATCAACAACACTTAGACACACTTCGGCAGATAAGAGCAAGTGTCGCCCGTCGATACTCTTGCAGGACAACCCTTATTGGCGCGCGTCGTCAGCCGGGTGATACACCTGTGAGAACGAGCATTCTCAAGGCCTTAGTTATGAGTCTGGGCTTTGACTGGACATACCCCGGCCTGGATAGGTCTGAATTTCATTCCTTGGCCAATCTTCTCTCACTTCGGAATGATGGCCAGGCCGAACTTTCTTTCTTGTCAGATGTAGTGCTCGACCAGAACTGGAACACCACTGGAAGCGAAGATGGATACGCGTTGAGTTCGGATACTCATGTCGCACAGCAGATATCGAGCTCAGAGCACGAGGCACTGAAGCAAAAGTTCCTTGACTGTTTACCCGAATTCGCAGCTAACAAGAAAGGCGGAAGAACGGTCGCTTTTACCACGATGGCGGAAACCGAAGACAGCGTTACTCTCTGGATTGCCCGAAACAGTGGCTTCGAAGATGCGGATTATTCCGTGTTCGGCAGGCTGGCAAAGCTGTTAGGCTCATTTGCTGACAATGATGGTACGTGTCGCATCTGAAGATGTTCGTTAAAGGACTCATCTCATATTTCATGTTTAGCCAATCGACCGGAGGAATTATTATGGCAGGAGATGATCCCTTATCATCGGACTATCATCGAGCAGAACTATATTCCCGACTTGCGAGCAAGCTTCAAGGCCTGTGATCCCGTCCGTAAAGGTGATAAAATCTTTACCCAAAGCATCACTTCAGGATCTGTCGCGACATTGTTTGACTTGCGGCGACTTCTTTTTGATAACGATTCAAACAAAATGCGAATCTTGGAAAAGCATAAACATTTGATTATTGCAAGCTACGACCTGCGCATGACGAGAGAGATCAAGCAATTACTCCACGACTCAGCGAGCGCGACTTCCAAGTCGAAGCGATTGTGGGTCAACATCTGTCGTCTTGCTCGGATCCGAGTCGCAATAGAACGCTTTAAAGACATCACGCTCGCACTCCCAAATCTCAAGAAAGTCTCAATAAACCTCATCCCCTGCCCTCTTACGCCGCAAGGTCCGTCTAAGCGATCCATGAGCCTGGATCAAACGTTCAGCATACTCGGACTAAGATTGGATAGCACCACATCGAAAGCTATCCTAGGCCGAGGCTGGACTCTGGATAAAGCGCGGCACGAATTCTTCAAACAGCAAAAGCAAAAATACAACATACATGCCGAGGTCCAAATGCTTATGTATCTCACAGCCCAGAGCTCTTCCAGGACTAGCTATTTCCCATACTTTGGGTGTAGTAAACTCAGTTGCTTCATGTGTAATCAGTTTCTACAGTGCTATGGAAGCATCACAACGAGAGGGTCTCATGACCGCCTCTTCAAGCCATGGACTGTGCCTCATGCCGATGGACTTGGGGCTGACCAGGCTAGAAGAGTGTCAAAGCCACTCGTATCGATGCAAAAGAAAATCGAGAGTACACTGATGGGAAAAGCTAAGAGCCATATGCAGCTTGAAAGGACTTCAGCTTTTGGAGGGAGTAGCATCATGGGGGGCCAACAGGGCGAACCATCACAAAGACAGCTGCACATCAGTCGACTTACGATGATAGCGGAGCGCGATCGCGTTGCGGAAAGCTTCCGAAGGTGAGGGAAATCAGTTCGTCGGAGTCAGCGCCTTTCTGGCAGTTCAGAAACACTCTGACAATCTACGGCAGAAGTACAGATCAGCCATCTGCCCTAAAAATGCACGGACCACCAATTTCTAGAGAAGACGCGGTGGAAGGGGAATGTCATTCATGTCCGAAACTGACGAGCAGGAAGTGCAGCCTGTGTGGTCAAGACTATTTCTGCGGCGACCCATGCCAAGCGAGAAGTTCTGTAGCACACCTTTCACCTGCTCGAGACGACCACTCACTTTGGCTGACTACCTCTGGGATTCACTTGTGAAAGATCATATGCCTTCAGATGAAGATGTCCTCGAAGATTTTGGATTCAACAATGTTACTTTTAGACAGGAGAGAAATCTCCTTTTCGGCGTCTATCGAGGCATTATCTCTCTGGCGGGTTCTCTTCGAAAGATGTTAATGACTGGCGTGTTGCGGGCGTTCTAGTCAACAAGGTCAAATCCATCTATTCTGACATTCCTGAGACCCATCGCGGCCGGTATTTTCCATGGTTCTTGGAGAACCTTCATGTACTTGATCAACCAATAAGCAAGGAAGAGGCGCAACAAAAGCTTGTAGTGACCTTTTACGACAAAGCTAAGCCATATTTGGATGTTGAAGATCGGAGCAAGGTATTTGGGGATCTAAAGCCACAGGCGCAGAGACACAGCTACCACTTGCTGGCAGAGATGCAACATAGATGGAGCCCAAATCCGGTTGAGGAGAATTGGTACTCGTTCGGTTTTGTCACCTGTCGCAACCGGAGTGAGGAGCGCACACTATTAGGCCTCTATCAGCTGCTTCTCATTCCAAACGACGAATCCTCTTTGTACAGAATCCACAACCGTCAGCAAGGAACCATGCCACCCGTCCCATTCACAGAGTTTTGGAAAGCGTACGAGTCAAAATCCCTGATCATGCTCATGGATGCGAAAGGTCTGAGGGAGGTTCGATCTAGGCTTCCATTCCTCGAGGTCTTCTTATCTGCGCCCACGTCGATCATCCGTCCTTCTGTGTGGGACTTGAAGCAGTTTCTGGAAATCAGAAACCCCGTTGAAAATCCGCCCACGTCATCTGTAAGCGTGAACTATGGGTTCGCGAATTGTCGCAATCGCGAGTACACTTGCACGATGATGGAGATATACGACAGGGTCTTAGGGGTAGCGAATCATCTCAAGCATCACGAAGCCTGTGTGGCTAGGAATCTGTTTAGATATGTAGGTGCTTATGTGAGGCTGAAAGAACAATGGGTTAGGTTTGAAGGAGACTGGCATCCTGCAGGATCGTTCTAGCTATAAGCGAGATGTACTGGCGTTCTTTAGTGCATATTTACACTCCATCAGCGTTTTCGCCATCAACCATGTTGTCTTTGTGTTACTTCCGACTTGTTCTCTCCTGACCTTACTAGCGATGACGGGATGTAGCAAGAGAGTCGGGGCGACAGGTGAGCATGAGGTCGCAGCAGCGTCGCAATGCCTGCTGGTCTGGCATTAGTTTTGGGCGCATTAAATGAAGATAACACGCCTTTTGCGGGTAACAACGACAACGGATTAGCGAGTGAAACTACATGTAGACTGCGGAGAGCTGGAAAAACGTAGTCGAAGCCTAGCGACACTTTATGTAGCCTTCACGCTGGGTCATTAAGTCGCAGGAGGTGAACTGTTTTCTAGGAAATATGGCTGTGCAGGTGGTGGCGGGATAACCGCGAACGCACAGTTTGCGCTATGTTACCGGCAAATTCAGCGTTATCGAACTATTAAATCTTGTTGGGAGAGAAGAAACTCTATTGGAATTCAGCGGTTGGAACATTTCCCGCCTTTGCGACGGACGGATAACTTTACTTTGATTGACCTGGGCCTTACAAAATCTTTCTGATGTTGTGTCTACCTAGACTCTTAGCGTGAGCTGTTATCATCGAAATGCACTGCTTAAATTATTTCGCCTAGACTGAGGTCAGCTATAAGCGCTCGCCAAACAACTAGAGAAGACCGCCTACTAAAACTACTCGGCTCTACTTTCCGGACGGATAAATGCAAGCAAGAGCCTTATGTCGATTGATTATTCTACTTGGGCTCTACAAAGTCTTAGCACTTGCGGCACGAGAACAATATCTTAAGGCTTTTCTCGCCTTTGCGATAAAGGAGGACGATGATTGCTCGGATCTGTAGGCTCTGGCGCTACTCGAACTCATCTACGACCTTCGTTTAGAATTGGCCTGTCGGAAAACTGTTGACACTATTCATTCTATGACTGTTGGCTCTTTTCACACTTTTTTTGGGTTTGGTGAACTTACCACATTAGAAACACCTTGCTTTATGGTTATTACTCTGGCTTCTTTAGCGTACTGCTGCTGGTAGTGGTATGTTGCATGCCGAAGCATTGCTTAAGTGACTATCCAGAAGGGCCCATCAGTGCCGAAAAATGTGCAGGAACTCTTGGCCCCTTCTCTTCCAAGGGCTTTGGGAAAGGCTCATAAATTTGGCATAAACATCATAGGAGGGCTAGACAACACGCGAACTTCACGCGCCCTGAGGAAGAGCTTACGGACGGAAGTAAAGAGTTACAATGTGATATGTCATGTCTGCTGACCCGTTTCTCAATAGCTCCTCTTGCTGAAATCTCTACATCACCGAAAGGTTCGTTACTTATATACACCTCGGACGAAGGTTTGCTTCTCCATGAATCGCAAATGACAACGAATAACACGAACTCTGTAATCCTTTCTGAGGCGCGCTGTTTCGTTGGAGCGACTTATCTAAGCATTGCCCAGGATGGTCAACGCATCTCTGTCTGGTGTGTTCTAGAGTGAGCTAGAGTGTCTGTCTGGTACCATCTGGTGCCATTGTTGCTCTGAGGAAAGCACGGGCCGCCGCGATTCTACTCCCTTCTGCGCGAGCCACGTCGTTCACCGCACTTGTTCTCAGACCCACCCAGTCTAGCCCGGCTCAACAAGTGCTCCTGTCCGCAGAAGTGAGTGGCAACTTGACATTCCTTCAACAGGCACCCAATACAGGCATCTGGCGCAATGAACTGTTAATACCGAACAAAGAAGTAAAATCAAGGCCGGTCAGAGCTGCACAGTCTATGAGACAGCCAGTGACAAGAGTGGAGCACGTATACAAAGCGGCAAAATTCAATTGAGGGCGTCATCTGTTCAAACCTTAACCATTGATGGACGTCTAACCACACTCCTCGACACGAATGGCGTAGTAAGTAAAGGGGCAAAATTTCAACTTCGATCCCAAGACTTGTGAGCGGTAGTCACAGAGAAACTGCGTAGCTTCTCAGAGGTAGGATTTGCTTGCTTTGCTCGAAATTAGTGCCAACGCATCTCTATTAACTCCATACCGCAATGAAAAAGAAACGCCCGTTAAATGGTATCGACCCGCTCACCGCGATCTCTCGATAGTTCCGACTCTTCATCCAACCCATGGGCTCTCGTGCGACTCAAGATCAGCCGCAATGAACTCTGCGCTCTGTTCCAGCGTCGTTTGATAGCGCATCGCGTTTATAGCGCAGACCAGCGTCCTGCCGATCAAAGGAATATGCTTGATCCACGAATCTTTCCAGAGTGGCGGCACATCGGCACTCGCGACTGGCCTCGATTGCACAGTTGTTGTTGGTGATGCAGATTCAGGAACCATGGTATTTGGGCAGAACATGGACCATTCAATTGAGTCTGATGGAAGAGACCTGAGCAGATTATAGTTTTCGCGATGCTCGAGGAAGATGGGAACGCTGGAAACTCGTCAGTACGTGCTGCGATGCTGATTGAAGAAAGAAAACTATGCGTACTATGAAGTTATCATGACTTTTGTCCCAGGGAAGTTCAACACACCCTGGCCGCCCAAGAACCATGCGCGAACTGGTGCGGCTCGTTCCTTTGCCGCTTCCCGTACTGCTTCGACAACGGAACGGAATATCACTGGCAGGTCGGTATGAGCCCAAGGAGCAACAGCTGATAGGCCTGCCGTAATTACGACCGCGTCGCAACCGTGGTCGATGATGGCATTCTTGACTGCGCCCGAATCCTTTGCGGAGCCCTCAACAACGGTAATTTGGCAATGGAGAGTGTCCGGAAGTTGCGACTCCAGCTTTGATGCTGATCTCACAAATACGACTACGTGATGGCCATGCGCAAGGAGTGCTGGAACGAGGCGAACGCCAAAGTTGCCTGTAGCGCCGATGATGAGGACCTTCATTTTGGTGGTGGGTACGGAAAAGGGAAAGTGAGGCGGTTCACTTAGAGATTGCCGATTAGGAAACGATCGTTTGGAAGTTGCTGTATGTGCTATTGCGCGCTTGGTTGTGCATGTTGACAGGATTGCAGCAAGTTATACATCATATTATCAGCCCGCGAGACGGTGATTGTAAATCGCACACCGACGCGGCGCTGGTCGGATCTACCTAGGTACTTAGTGCGGACATCGCTTGGGAACTGCGAAGGGATCGAGAAAGGGATGCGATGCAACGGAACGGCGCATTTAGTTGCTGCGGTTGTTCAGTTCCTGGCGCTAACTCGGAATTGTCTGCTACCGAAGCTCCAACTCCGTCCTCGCTTTGAGGAAAGTACAACCCCGACAGCATTATGATCTCAAACATCAAATGCTTGATATCGATCAATGCAGCGCTCAAAAGTCTCTGGCATTAGAACTTGATTACAAAGACCTCTCGCAGTCCGGCAGAATCATCGGTTGCGCGCCAACAGCCATGCTTCCCTTCAGCGCTTCATAGCATCGCGAAAATATCGTCCAGGGGTAAGCAAAGGCGGAAATACACCCAGGGAACCTCACCCTGATCTTCCGCCGATATGGTCTCTATGTCACTACCCTCAATGACTGAAGGCTGTTAGAGTTGGTGCAGATGAAAGCAGAGGTGTCAAACTAACCATTTGCGAAGACAGGCATGTAAAGTTCTTGTAGGCACTCGAGCACCGCGTCGCGGTCGCGTAAAGCTTCCACAAATGCAGCGTCGACAACAATGCGTTTGAGCTGTTTGGCTCGGATCTCCGCTTCTTCCCAGCCAAGGAAGAGAAATTCAGGTCTTGCCGGAAAAATTACATTTTTGCATTCATCACGAGCGTCAGCAGCTGGTCAAGTACGCGCAAAAGCCTCACCTCACGACCTAACTGATATGCCCTTGGCATAACAAGACGCTTGATGAAGCATTCGGCCGAGTATTCGCGAGAAAACGCGGTCGGAGACGTACACTGTGCTTGGTTCGAGGGACTTGCCTGCGACTATAAGGCTGTACGCTTTTCACTTGTAGCGGGCGCAGACGGCGACGGCTGTACTGACCCCTCGTCCATAAGAGCCGTTGCTGATCGCACAAAGTGATTTCAATTTGGAGAAAGTACGTCTCATCCAATCTCTGCCATAGATCTGGTGACAGAAGGAAGTGGCATCGCGAATACCTTGGAGGCGTTCTCGTGCTATACAGCCGGCTTGGCATGCAGGTCCTCCATCCATGACGTTGGTTTGGGTAATGTCCATGGTCGTGAATCCACAGTGGATGTTCGTCCTATGAACGCGTACCATAACAATCAAAACAGCAAGGAATCCCGGTTTCGCCACTTTGCCCGCTTGCATAACTTCCGATCTGGGGAAGCTGGCCACGATATGCCTCCACTGCCAGAGACCAGGCTTCGTGGACGTAAGATTGGTTCAACGAAGCTTGACCATACATTGGCATGTAAGGGTCATTTGGATGAGCCATGGATAATGTAACACTTGGCGTCTGAATTGTTCCACCAAGCGAGATATAAAGTCGGTTCAAATTTCCTCATACTGGCTGAGAGCATTGTTCGAGCTTCACCAGTCTGAACTCCATCTCGATGCTACCAACAGCGCTACTCTTGACGTTTCTCGCGGCGGGCCAGGCAGCTTCATCGGATACAGCCTCAAACATCAATATCGACTTAGAGCTCACCGCCGTCACCACTAGCGGGACGTACACAGGCTTTGTGGATGACGCAGCACCCAATGTGAAGCAATGGCTCGGAATCCGCTACGGCAAGGCGCCTGTTGGCCCCAAGCGTTTTATGCCACCGGAGCCTGCAGTGGATATGACAGCCCACTACTATGCTCGCGAGTATAAGCCCATCTGCTTCCAGCAGAGCGGAAACCACACCGGACTTTTCTGGGAGCTTGTGCCCGAATTCCAGAATCAGGATCCACAAAGTGAAGACTGCCTCTACTTGAATGTCTGGGCACCCAAGAAACCTGCGAAGAAGGTCCCGGTATTGATTTGGGTGTGTGGTGGTGGCTTGCAGGAAGGAGGTGGGCATGCGCCATATCAGATACCTGATCAATGGTTGGAGAAGACTGAGAGTCATATTGTGGTCACATTCAAGTCAGCACAACCGTGTGAAGTTTCGGTATGTCGACTAACGAATGGACAGCTACCGTCTCAATGTGTTTGGATTTCCAGGCGCACGGGGTGCGCGCGAAAATGCGGGCTTCCACGACGCAAGAATGGCGTATGTAGCCTCTAAGCCCAATTGCTTCACATGTCTAACGTTCCAAGTGTCGAATGGGCGAGAGATAATATTGGTGCGTTCGGAGGCGATCCCGAGAACATGATCATATGGGGTCAATCAGCTGGTAGGTAGCTCAGGCCGCACTCGATATTTGCAACTAACCCAACACAGGCGCGGGCCTAGTCGGTTCCTACATCTATGCCAACGGTGAAGATCCCATTGTCAGCGGCGCGATAGCAATGTCCGGAGCCGTCAACAGCCCGGCACCAGACAACTCCACTAACTTCTCTGAACTTGCCAAAGCTGCCAACTGCGGTGGCCTCAGCGCCAAAGCTGAGCTCTTGTGCATGCAGCATGTCCCGGCTTTACGTCTGCAAGACCTACTTCAGGGATCCGTATTGCCTGGAAGCAATACTCCCGTACCGAGGTTCCGCGCCGTCGTTGATAATGTTACTGTGTTTGCGAACAACACTGCGCGGTTGGAAGGAAATTTGACGGCCAATATCGTACGTTGCTGATCCGATTGATCAATCATCGCCTTCATTGGCTGACTTGAACCGCAGCCTCTGATCACCGGATACACGATCAACGAGCTCGCTGCTTTCGAGGGTTACGTATCGAAGAATGAAACGAAACCGCCGCCAGGATTAAGCACCGTACCTGGGCCTTCTCTTGGGTGTCCGGTGCAGGCCGAGGTCGCGTCAGTGCCTTAGTCTCATGCGTCGACTGCATAGGAGCTGACTACCTACCCAGACAACGACTGAAATACAATCTTCCCACATATCGATACCTTTTCGCAGGTAATTTCTCTAACATCACACCACGCTACTGGTTGGGTGCAATGCACAGCTGTGAGTCACGACCGCAAATCGGGAGGGAAGGGTGACTGACGTTGCTACAGCCGATTTACCCCTCGTGTTCGACACACATTATCAGTTCCGCGGTAACTCGACTGAGCTGGAGTGGAAGACCAGTCATGCGATGCAAGAATCATGGGTCAGCTTCGCCACCGACTCTGCCGGCGATCCGAATTATGCAGAGGGCGTGAAATGGCCGAGATACTCTCCAATGGGCGACACGACACTTGTATTTGGTGGGGTTGATGCTGCAGCACAGTTGCTGCCAGGAAGCTATGCTGATAGCTTTATCGTCTGTCCGAGCGTGCAATGAAATTGTTTGCTTTCTTAGATGAACCTGAATTGCAAGAGAGGTTGCGTGGAAAGGAGTCGCGTTGAAGAAGGTGCTGCTATAGAAGAGAGATTGTATCTTAATATATACTGCTAGTAGCGTTAAATTCAAAGCGATAAGAACTGTAATCTATTCTAGAGTGCTAAATCTAGTATTATAAGACTAGAATACTTTATTAGTACTAAGAACTATGTGTAACGTACCTTACAGCTTCGCGGACCATATAGCTTCGCGAACTACTTAATTTTAGTACTAAAGAAGATCAATAATCTAGAGCTTAATATCTATAGACCTACTTGATAAAATCCTCTAAAAACTTTACTACAAAGCAGCATTCATATAAACTTTATAATCCTAGAATTTTTAATCTATAGCTTTGGTATTTAGAAAATTATCAAAGAAAAACTAAACTATAAGGATTATCTTAGCGTACTTTCTAATATCTTTTCCTCTATCCTAGCTAGAGCTTAGAAATCTTAGCTATATAGAGTTTAGATATATAGAAATAGCATATTAAATTTTTAGAAAGTTCTATCTAGCAGATCTAGAGTTATTAAGCTCTAGATTATTGGTTTTCCTTAGTAAATCAAGTGTTCGGCTAACTCGTGTGTCCAGCTAACCTATAAGGTACGTTAGTTACTTTTCTATAATTGCATTACTTTTGATAGGGCAGGCCTAAGCGTTTTTGTAAGCAGGCTCCTTTTTTCCTTCTGCTGCTCACCTGATAACCTTCGAAACTCAGGTTATACCTACTAATAACATCGCAAGTGTCGTGCGCTATGTTGCTGGTTCGAAAAGAATCTAAAGCATCACGATCCTCTTCTTTCTTCATATTAACTTTAATCATGGCGCGAACATCTCAAATTAAGAAAGTCGCCACATTGCGCCAGCGCTCCTACTCCTCCCCCTCTTCATTCCTCCCCACGCCTAAACCAGCAATTCACGACTACCCCGGGCTCGGGCTCCCCTTGCGCCATCTCGTTCAAGACAAGTACGGCTTCTATCCGATCGGTGCGCACGGCAGTAATTATGAAGCCCACTCGGAGCCGATCTTTGTGCGCGAAGTGGCTATGATGGACGTCATAGAGAGATTGACGGACAAGACCGAGTGGAGTAGGAAAGTGTTCGATGAGGAGATTGTGGCGAAGTGGAAGAAAGAGGCGTTAGCGTTGAAGGACGAGGATTTTTACAGGCTGGCAACAAGTGGGAAGAGTCAGTATTGGGGGGATGACGGGGTAGAGTTGCGGGATGATGACGGGGGTGTGATGCCAGATAATATTCTAAATGGGGTCGCTTTTGACTGCGTAGGTATTTACTTTGTGATTTGGGCAAATTTGCTGACGATTGCGAAAGTGCATTCAAGAGCTCCAGAGTAAAGCCAAGTATCTGAAAAAAACTGGAATCGTACCGACGTTGGATGCTTGTGCATCTGTGGCTAAGTCCGACTCCCTCGTCACGCCAGAGCTGCACGCCGCTTTACGTGCTGCTTTTGAGAAGCTCAAGGCCGATCACGAAGCTGCTCCTGACTGGCACCCTTGCTATAACGACATGGTACAGGACTTTGTAGATCCATCCATGTACCCTTTGATTTATGGCCGGACCCGCGCATTCCAGCAAGAGTGCGTCGGTGTCGAAGATGCGATTTCCCACTGGGCCGGCAAAGGAGCCGTTGTGCCAAACGCAGAGCACCAAAATTTCGAAGGAACCAATTCGATGCACTATGGAGTCGGAAGCGGTACATTGCCGCCAGAGTACTGGTCTGAGACGTATCAATGGCTGCCAGCTAACGTTACGTTTCAGCCAGATGGTGGTGTCAAGTTCACCAGTTATGTGAATAACTTGCACCCGGGGAAGTATCCCAATATCCATCGGGTGCTTGAGGAGCTTATTAAAGCTTCACTTCCTATGTGGGATCAGTGTCTTGCCTTGGCTGCCGATTATGAGAGCAGAGAAGGTGCGGGGAGGATGAAGAAACGCATGCCTATGGTGGATAACGCTGAGTAAGTTCACACGCCTCATTTCTGCACAACACTAATCATGTTGCGTTTTAGTGATGAAAATGCCAAAAACTGGATTCCTGAGGACGCACAAGAGTGCGCAGATGCAGAAGTCACAGAGCAACAACTCGAAGACTTAGGATACTCTCCAGACTGGTCTGAACCCAACAGACTAACAGAATACAAATGGAAGATCGTGCGCAAGCCCAAGCTTCCCGAGGCAACTTTCTCAGACATCTCATACGCACCTCAGGAAGGCACACAGCTTGTGGAACGCTTCGCCTCCTCTGGCCTTCAAGTTATTGTCAAAATGGTCTCAATTGAACTCACCCCCGAGAAACCGGACTTCCCCGTCGGCGGATGGCACATCGAGGGCCAAATGAATGAACACATCGCCGCCACGTCGATGTACTATCTAGACAGCGAGAACATCGCCGATAACAGTCTGTACTTTCGCATGCAGACGTCCGCGTACCTCAACGATGATGATGCATACCAGGTCGGCCAGGACTCGTACAAGTGGATGGAAGGTGTATATGGGACTGGATTTGGGTGCGGCAACTCGCCGTGTTTGCAGAATTATGGAAGTGTGGTGACAAAGCAGGGGCGCTTGCTGGCGTTTCCCAATGTCTTGTAAGCACGTGCTGAATCGTGACTGAAGAGTTTTTGCTAACGAGACGGACAGTCAACAGCGCGTGTCCCCCTTCAAGCTCATCGATCCAACAAAGCCAGGGCACCACCGCTTCGTCACGCTGTGGCTGATCGACCCTACTAAACGCGTCATTAACACCGCAAACGTCCCACCGCAGCAACTATCCTGGTACAACAAGTTGCTCCTCAGTGGCACCGCTGAAGCGCGCAAAGCCGCGCTAGCAAAACTCCCTAGACGAGAGGATACGACGGAACAGGCCCGATCCGCGTCTCGAAATAGTTAGCGCAGAATTTATATAGAGGCTAAAAACTCTATTAAAGAGAAGGTCTATCTTAACCTTAAGAGCCTAATCTAAATAACTTCTTATGCATTTTTTATTAAGTGCTCTATATAAAGTCTCTTTTTATATCTCTAAACTTTTTACTGCTATAGTTAAAATTATAAAAAGTTACGTTATGCATATTATTAAGATTAGAGTTATAATAAAAACTATATAGAATAGCTATGCGTTAACGCAGCAAGATAAGAATAATAGTAATAGTAATAGCGTTATATACTATAAAAAAGAATATTACGTATTGCTTAATAATTGCGATAATATTTTCTATTTTCTAGAAGAATTTAGTATCTTAGTTTGCAAGCAGCACTATATAGATATAATTAATCTAGATATATATCTCTTATAGTATTATAATATAGATACTATAACTTAATAATAGATTATTAACTGCTTTGCGCATATTGCTACTATTAAACTAGATTAAATTAAACTCTCTAAAGAGCCTAACCTCTAGAACTAATTTAATTGCTGCTACTACTACTTAAAAACTCTAACTATATAATTTAATTACTGCTACTGCTTATATAAAAGGTAATTAGTTCTAGAAACTAATTACTTTGCGCTTATACTATATATATATCTACTCTAAAGTGCAGATACTATAGAGTAACTAAAGTATCTCTTTTCTTTTATTACTTCTTATTATAATATGCTACTTATATACTCTAGATATTCTTTGCTAAGTAATATACACTTAGCTCTATAATCTTTAGCTTACTTATATATAATTCTATAAGTAGAATACTATACTTCTAGGCTGCTGTCTATACTAAAACTAAATAATTATGCAATTCTATAAGAGTATACTACTTATCTTAACTCTGCATATCTATATATATAATTCTAAGTTTGCAACTCCTACGTAGCAGAGTTGCAAACTTAGAAAATTATACTAAATTATCTACTAGAACTGCTGCTACCTTCTTCTACTACCTAGAAAATTTATTATGCTCTATAGATCTTACTATTACTCTGCAAAGTTATTATTTTTTATCTATGCTTATTATTCTAATACTCTTAGAATGCCTGTATAGTTCTTTTTAGCTCTAAAAAGACTTTTCTAAGTATTTAATACTCTGCTCTAGCTAAGAACTATGCTTTTTAGCATATTTCTCTCTTAAAATTTATTTAATTCTCTTCTCTCTTCTCTTCTTACTTTCTTTATTACTTCTTATCTTTCTTTTATATAATAGCAGGTTAGTATAAAGTTATCTTTTATACTTTTTTCTTCTCTAGAGTAATTATTATATCTTTTCTAACACTTTTTATTCTTACTATGCTTCTGCTAGAGGCCTAGAGCTCTTATAAGTTATAAAGGCAGCTATAATCTCTTAAAAGAGTTAGAATAAGTTAAATAAGATAAAATAAGTTTGCTTCTAGCTTATATATGCCTCTATATTTAATATATAAAAGGATAGATTACGTAAGAAGGCAGTTAGTTTTCTATTCTACTACTTAATATGCTCTATTTAGTTATTTAATATTAAATATAGCTTTATACTAATAGTTTTAGCATCTATCTTAGCTAAATATGCTCTCTTACTACTAAGCACTTATTATTTCTATTACCTTTAAGCCTACTTAAAGCTAACTATCTACTAATAAGCTATATTATTAGTATAGTATTATAAGAGATATTAACTAGTTTAGGTAAAATTAAGTTAGTGCTCTATTTTAGCTATATATACTATATAGCTTAGGCTAGATTTAAACTAGAAGAAGCTCTCTACTTTAAGTTCTATCTACTTAGTAGTCTAGAAGCAGTACTCTTATACTATTCTCTGCTTTAAGTTATTATCTCTTTCTTTCTTAACTTAAAACTACCTAGAACTATTATAACTAGATTAATATAATTCTTTTCTTAGAAGATTACTCTATTCTTCTCTCTAATAATCTCTAGTTTAGTGCTTCTATTATTAAATTTAATAATAACTAAGGCTTTACTAGCTCTAATCTATCTAAAGAGAATCTTTCTTATTCTCTATTGCCTCTAGAGCCTTGCCTAAACTTTAATCTTCTTAACTTTAGTACTTTATAAGTCTCTTGCTACTTCTACTAAGTATATTACTAGTAAGCTAAGAGATTATTAGATAGAATTGCAGAGACTATAATATTTTAGCTTTGCTATAGAGATAGAGAAATTAATATTCTACTCTTTAAGCCTCTACTAAGGTATCTTTTTAACTTTTTATACCTCTAAGTACTAGAAGTAAGAGAGTTCTAGAATAATTTATATTAGTATAACGCTGCTTTTACTTTTATATTATTAGATTATACCTCTATTAGTTATAAAGAGAGCTATAGCGTTTAGGTATTTACTATCTATAGAGCTCTTTACTACTAAACTAGTCTATTAGAGAAGCTTTATAAAGGCTAAATTACTACTTATACCTAGTTATACTTCTATAATAAGCAGTACGCAGACTATTTATAGAGTAATAGAAACTCTATACTACGCTAAGATACTCTTTCTAAATTAAATATTATGCTTTATAAGCTTTCTAACTCTTATATTACTATCTATAAGACTATATAGCAGCGTCTTACTAAGGCTATAGTTAATTAGCGTATTATTCTCTAGAATAACTTTACTATTACTCTTAAAATAGATAGTAACTATTAGATAGAGAACGTTTAGGTTACTAAGAAGGTTAGTTTAATTCTTTAAAACTCTTAAGCGTCTAAAATAGAGTACTCTATTATTCTTGCTACTTAAGATAGCACTATATTATATACTATTAAAGCTTATTAGCTAGACTATATGCCTCTATACTATATTCTTATATTCTCTAAAGGTAGTAGAAGTTAGTTAATAATAATAGAGGTTCTTAATTAACGTAGAGTGCTTATAAGAGTTAGGTTAATATAGAAAAAGTATTATTAATTCTATCTTTATACTTGTCTAAAGCAAAGAATAGTCTCTTTTCGCTATTTTTAGCTCTTTTAGTAGTAGATTATTAATATATAGGCTCTTATTAAGCAAAATAAGCTTAATTTTATCTGTTATAACTAGAAAACGTTATATATAGAGCTTTATTAGAGAGTTATAGACGCTCTCTTAAACTAAGACTATAAGTAAGGTCTAATAGGTTATTAGATTATCTTTCTAGCAATCTATTTAGGCTGCTAAAGATTTATATAGAACTATTACTATAACTCTATAGCTATATACTAAGACTTTAGCTGCTTAATCTTATTTCTTATCTTTACTACTACTTCTTATTAGCTTAAGGTTTAATAGGAGCTTAGCTAAGAAGAAACTAGTATTAATTAGCCTAATCTTATTACTTAGGTATTCTATCTAAAGGTTTAGAAGTTTCTAAAGAACCTAAAAATATACTTTAGCGCCTAACTTAGATATATTTACACTATTAAGTATTAGAAATACAGCCTTCTCTATATTTATCTGCTTCTTTTTCTACCTATACTAACCTATATAGCCTTTACTAATACGAATTATATTAATAGCTATATCTATATAGAGTTACTTACCTCTAAGAATAACTCTAATAGCGTTTTAACTGCTATTATTCTAAAGTTTATAGTCTATAGATCCTTATAGAGAAGAAGAATACTTTAACGCTCCCTTATATAGTAAAACAGAGTTATAGTTTACCTAAAAAGTATTTAAAAAGCTTTTCTAAGCTATTTTATGCTTCTACTATTATCTCTATAGATAGTTATCTGCAATATTAGCGCTAAAATAATAGTATATAATATACTATTCGTCCTAAACAGAGAGATTTCGTTATTAATAACAGCTAGATTATCTTATACTACTCTTCTCTACTCTAGAAATATGCTGCTTATATTAATATTAAGATTTATAGTACTATCTATACTATATACATATTAGAATTTCTAATATTAGGTTAATAATAGTACTAAGCTAGCCTATTATTATTAGGAATTTTAATATCAGATTAATATTAACTTTTTTCTAGCCTATGCTCTTCGTATATTAACTTTGCGCTCTTTATATATTAACTTTGCGCTCTTTGCATATTAACTTTATGCTCTTTGCATATTAACTTTGCGCTCTTTGCATATTAACTTTATGCTCTTTGTATATTAACTTTGCGCTCTTTATATATTAACTTTGCGCTCTTTGCATATTAACTTTGCGCTCTTTATATATTAACTTTACGCTCTTTGCATATTAACTTTGCGCTCTTCGCATATTAACTATCTATAATAAAGTAAGGCACTATATATATTTTAGTTCTAAATCTCTATCTAAATTATATACGCTTATACATCTTAATTAGAGGCTATCTCTCTATTTATAAAAGTGCAGTATTTAATCCTGCACTTATAAAAATAGCTCTCTTTTATAAGCCTATATATATTAAGAATATAAAAGCATATATATTAAATCTCTCTAGTAGTTATATATACTATAAGAACTTAAATAATAAAGATATTTTAGAACTTATAAATATGCGCAGTAACATTATTATATAAAAAGCTGCAAGATCTAGGTCTCTTCTATGTCGTTATTCTAGTTGCTTAATACTATCTTAAATCTTTCTTAGCTTAGCGTTTCGTATATTCGCTTTATTCTAGAGAGCTCTATTCTACGCAGCAAATTAATAGGCTGCGTTGCTAAATATTCTTTTAAGTTATTAAGAAAAGAGAACTCTAT